AGTCGAAACCCTTGGTGCTGTGTCTGTTATTTGCTCCGACAAAACCGGCACTTTGACAAGGGTAGGTATATTTTCCCTTGATCATCAGACATTCAACTAACACTCACCCGCCTTAACAGAACAAAATGTTCGTCACCGATTGTGCCATATCCACCTCTACATTCAGCCCGGAGTCGGCAAGAGACCGGATGGTGATGGATGGGAAGACATCCGGTGTCCACCAGCTCCGCGCTGTAGCCGCGCTGTGTAATGCAGCCGAGTTCGATGCTTCGTCGCTAACTCTTCCTCTGGCTGAGAGACGTATATATGGAGATGCCACCGACCAGGCCGTCCTCAGGTTCTCTGAGAGCTTAGGTCCTGTTTCGGAGTTACGTCAGACGTGGAAGTTGACCTATGAACTGCCATTCAATAGTAAAAACAAATTCATGATCCGCACGTTGAATGTGGCACAACCTAACGGATATGGAGTAGCTCTCTCGGCGGGAGAAGCAGGGCAGTTCAGACATAGTGACAGTCTACTGACAATCAAGGGTGCTCCAGATATTTTAATTGAACGATGCACGCACACTATTGGTTTGGACGGTAATGTGGAGGCACTTAATGAGCATGTGAGGCGGAAAATTCTCGAGATAAAAGACCGCTGGTCCAGCGAAGGTAGACGTGTCATTCTTCTTGCTCGCAAGATTCTTCCGGCAGCAGAAATCCTTGTCCATCCATCCTCTCGTGAATTTGAGTCAGAAATGATGAATCAGGCAAAGACTGGCCTAGTTCTTGTTGGTCTGGTTGGCATCGTCGATCCTCCAAGGGAAGAGATCCCCGATGTGATCAAAACCCTGAGACGGGCTGGGATTAGGATTTTTATGGTTTGTTTATCGTCTGTTTGAAGCGTTTGGGCAGAGCCGCTAATTACATTTTACTAGGTAACCGGTGATTTTGGGCTTACTGCTTTGGCGATCGCACGGCAATGTGGCATTGTCACAACAGAAGGCACAGTCGACACTGTAGCCTCCTTGCAGAGGTCTACTCAAATCACTGAGAAGGTTTCCCCATCAACACCGTCGCCCGCGATCGTCATGAGTGGACCTCAGCTTATGTGCTTGGATGACTGCCAGTGGGACCAGCTCTCTCAATATCAAGAAATTGTTTTTGCACGAACTACACCGGAACAGAAGCTTCGCATTGTCAGGGAGTTTCGTTCACGAGATGAGATTGTCGGCATGACTGGAGATGGAGTCAATGACGCTCCATCTCTCAAGGCCGCTGACATTGGGATTGCTCTGGGCAGTGGCTCTGATATTGCAATAGAAGCGTCCGACATGGTCCTTCTGGACAGTTTTTCGGCAGTTGTAGAAGCCGTGCAGTATGGTCGGGTTGTCTTTGATAACCTGAAAAAGACCATTGTTTACTTGCTGCCCGCTGGTTCCTTTTCCGAGTTTTGGCCTGTATTCACCAATGTCATGTTTGGTCTTCCTCAAGTCCTCTCATCATTTCTCATGATCATTATCTGGTAAGTACTCTCTATGATAGGGACCCGTCGAGGCCTACCCGAACTCACAGCAAATAGCTGTTTTACCGACTGTGCCGCCGCCACTGTTCTAGCCTACGAAGCTCCAGAAGCTGACGTTCTCCTGCGTCCACCCCGCAAGCCAAAGCGCGATCGCCTCGTGAACTGGAAGTTAGTATTCCACGCTTATGGTATTCTCGGTATGCTGGAAAGTGTTGCATCCTTCGCCATGGCATATTGGTACCTTGAACGCAGCGGGATCCCTTTCTCAGCGTTATGGTTCAAATTTGGAGCTGTTCCCTCGAACATAGACCCAGACTACTACCAGGCTCGTCTAAACGAGGCCAGTTCGATCTACTTCATCAACTTGGTCGTCATGTAAGCCACCATTAATCAGCCATCTCCACATATTATACCTGTGAACTTCAGCTAACACCCTTTTAGGCAATGGTTCAACCTCATGGCCGTTCGAACCCGCCGTCTATCCATCTTCCAGCATCCTCCGGCCTTCAATAAGGATACGCAGAACCTCCTTCTCTTCCCCGCGATTGCCTTCGCTCTCTGTATGGCCATCTTCTGGCTATATGTTCCTCCTTTCCAGGAGGTCTTGGATACTAGCAGCGTTCCAGCAGAGCATTATTTCCTGCCTGCTGCTTTTGGGCTGGGTATTCTTTGTCTGGATGAGCTGCGTAAAGCGGCGGTCCGGAGGTGGCCAACAGGAGTTTTGGCTAAGTGTGCTTGGTAGCGAGTTACATATGATTTTCTTTTGCTGTTGTGGTAATTGGATAAGTGTTGTTTTATTAAATTTCTTTTATCTTAGTTTTTAATGTTTTCTTATTGTTTTTTTCCAGCCTTAGAGTTGATATATCGGGAGCCTGGGAAACACAGCCTGAATCTACTTCAACCTCGCACTACGGAGTACTGCCGAGACCTATATACAAAAAGTAAAAGGAAAGTGAAAAAATATACAGCAGTATTGGCATAACTTTGCTTATCTAAAGTTAGCTGTCCAGGCAGTAAGCCATATGATTTAGATATTATGTTAAGGCCATCGTCGGTTACTAAGACTCAGAATACAGCGTCAAGTGCTGCTGTTTTTGACCGTCTGCTAACCGTTTGATTGTTGAAGAGAGGTATATAAGGATCCTCCCTCGCTATTCTAAATACTTTCCCTCTAATAATGTATAGTTCATGAGTAGCTCTCTGCGCCCTACTCCTTCGAATCCTTCCCCTGAACCTCGTAAAAAGAAAAAAGGAAACGGGCCACAGCGTTAACATAGGAGGACCCCCTACTTATTAAGAATGCCCCTCGCCAAATTGAGGCCCAAGAAGTAAAGCAGATTAAGGAAGAATGGAAACAAAGGACAAAGGTGCCTTGAGGTGCAGAGGCTCCTATCCACCACCAAGCGTTGTTGGGAGTGATGGGCCGAGTATAGCCTAGGTAAAAACAAATTTATAGTACGGTGAACCATATAGACCAGATATGTAAGCCACGTCTGCAGGCTGCGACAATCTCAGACCATAACTTAGGTATAAGTTAACTCCTAACTCTCACCATCAATTACCCCTGCGGCAACCAGTATGGTTGCTAATTATTTGGAGTCACCACACATGCAAAAGTAAGTTGCACAGAATATACCAAGACTGGGCCTCACTAACACCCCCCAGTATGTTCCCTTCATTGCCTGTTGATTGTTGGATAGCCATCACGGACTTTTTAAAGCCGGGTGACATCGTTTCAGTTTCTGCAGTATGCAGAGACCTGCATTTATCTCTTCGTCCCTTGATTTATAATAGGGTCTCTTGGGAATGGGAAACAGTGCCTGTCGAACGCATCCTGCAACTGCTGCGAACGGTCCTGCAGAATCCAAAACTAGCCCTGTTAATACATCATATCACTATTATGTCTCCACCACGAAACGCCATTCTGCACGACTGGAATGAAGCCAATGTGAAACCTAATTCTACGAAGGACGCGACCGTTGGTTTTGAGGAAGTAGTGGGGCTTGCTCAGGCACTGGTTGAGAAAGTTGAATTTCCGGACGCATCAAAGTGGAATGAAGCTCTTGGAAATGGCAATGCTTATGCCTTTATCGCTATTTTGCTCTCCCAGTTACACAGTTTAAGATCTCTTCGACTTGACTATTCCTTTGTCTGGAAGCTGGGATTTCCAGGGCTAATGATGAAACATGCCCTTTTCTCCGCCCCAGAAGGCCTGCTATCAAGATTTACCCACCTTAACATAGTGGATTATGGCAGCAATGTGCCCATCGCTGAGGAGTTTGACGGTCTATATAATGATTTTGATACCACAGCTGGCTACCCTCTGTGTGATCCTGATCAATTTATGGCATGGTTTTACTTACCAGCTATTCAATCCTTATCAATCTGGCTACGGAGTTTTAAGGATGTTATTGCTGATTATAACAGCCAGCAGGCTAATCTCAGCCAGCTGCAGACACTTGTCCTTGCTCGTACAACAATTACAGATGATGAAGTACAAGATCTACTGTCCCAAATGGCCTCTCTGAAAATGCTCCATTTAGGCCTAGCATATCGATGGCATGATGAGGTAATCCTGGAAGTTCCAGATTTTATCATTGAAGGCCTGGAGTATGTTAGTCAGACTGTGGAAACACTATCCTTAGGGCTAGAGTATTACCCATACAACGAGGGATACTATTCTTTTGACTGCCAAGACGAATACTCAAGAGAGCAATTCCAAGGGTTTTTACAGAAATTTCCCCGTCTACGCTCTGCAGAGGTCCCGATTACCCTCCTGGCAGGAATAAATACGGACAATATTGTTAATGTTGGTAGCTTCTTGCCGCCTACACTGGAAGAGTTGTGTCTTCACTGGGACTGTGAAGAAGTGCTTAGGGGGTTGTCGGAGTCGGAGTTTTATGACTGTGTTTGGCGTTTGCTGGATGACCTGCACCCTCATTCCCCTAACCTTAAGAGGATCATAATCCGGCAGATGGTGTGCTCTCCAGCTGCAAGGGCGAACCGCATGAAAGAGCATGCAAAGCTACAGGTAGCATATGCTCAGGCTGGAATTGAGCTTCAGGCAGTCTTTGACTATCTATCTCCCGGCCTATGGACACAAGAAGGCTATATGTGATGGAAAAATTGACGTCATGTCAGTGGTTAAGACCTTTTGCTGTTTTCAGGCTTATTTATGTTCATAGTTGATATTGTCGTAAGATTACTTGGTGCTCAATATCAGAAGTTTCGTCAAAGTTGCGGACTGTAATATTAATAAGGCTAACATCACAAGATAGTGTAAGAAGCAAATCTTCCAACATGTTCAAATATGTGATATATAACTCCATCCCGCCACCAGCGCATCGTCTCTCACACCATCACAGACTGTTGAGTTGTCTAGGGACTAATATATGGGTGAATGGCCTATTTCCACGTCCCGCCACACTTGGATTCCCCATACGGATGACCTGTCCGCCTCATCCAGGTTCCACTGCACAATCCATATGCTGCTTCATGCTTGCCAGGTCACCTCCCTCTTTCCTTGCGCCGCTGGCTTTGACACGCCCGGCGTCTTCTTGCCGCCATTGCCCTTGTTCTTCTTTTTCTTCTCCTCTTCCTCCTTCTTTTTCTTCTCCTCTTCCTCCTTCTTTTTCTTCTCCTCTGCCTCCTTCTTTTTCTTCTCCTCTGCCTCCTTCTTTTTCTTCTCCTCTGCCTCCTTCTTTTTCTTCTCCTCTGCCTCCTTCTTTTTCTTCTCCTCTGCTTCTTTCTTTTTCTTCTCTGCCTCTTTCTTTCTCTCTCTTCTGCTTCTTTCTTTTTTTGCTCCTTCTGTCTCTGCGCTTCCTTATTCTTTTCCTCCTCCTCCTTTTTTAACGTGTCTCTAATCTCAGCAACCTCTTTTTGCAGCGCCGGAGTCATAAGCTCTTGTTGAGAATGCTTGGAAATACCGGGGATATTCTCCTGTTTGTCTTCCGGGGTTTTGGTATCAATAACCTTGAAGCCCATCTTAGTGCAAAAGGCGTCACATCCCCATACCTTGTCCCCGGTACCGCAGGGATCATAAGCTTGGTTTTTGCTCTTGTCATGTATCCAGGCAATCGTCCGGGCGTTTTGGCCTTGTAGTTTCGCTCCGTGGTTCTTCAGCAGATAGGTATAGCTGGCCATTACTTCTCCACAGGAGGCGTCATTCTTATGCTGATCGTTTTCCCTCGGGGGCTCCTTCGCCTTTCCGAGAGCAGTTTTAATCTCCTCGGGCACATGGGCTCGGATTTCTCCAGTGCCTGCTTTTTTGCCCTTCTTGGGTTTCGCATTGTGTTCGTAGATAAAGGAATAGTCGCCCTTCATAGACGAAGCCAGGTAGACTTCATCACCGACAAGGAGGGCAGTCATAACGGATGGTTGTAGGGCGGCGGGAGCGGCCTTAAAGTCGGCATCCGCATTCATCTCATCGCTGGCGTGATGCACCAGTGCAATCATTTGGCTGTCCGTGATTACTTCCTTCGCTTCTTTGTCCTTGTTCAGCTTAACAATTGAGCTCCAAACATATTGACGATCACCATCATTGTCATTTCCCTTTCCCCCTTCCTTGGTCTTCCCCAGCCTAACCGACATATCTTCCTTGATACCCAGATCCAGCTCGGCAAATGCCAGAGCGAACACCAGAAATAGAAGCGTCAGCACTTTGTGCGTTATCATGTTGGCGGTTTGTCGTAGACTCAACGACTATTAACTAAAGAAAATAGATGTACATATAAAGAGTGTATAAAATAGGTGTGTTTCCAAAGAGTGACAGGTTGTAGTAAATGAGAGAATGGTAGTTGGATGATTACCTCTCTATAGGCAGAGATGGCGGTATTTAACTTGTTTATTTCTACGGATGTGTGTCCTGTAGTTGACTGTACTGTGTGGGCTTGATACGTAAAGCTTCTCAGATAAATCCAAAGCCGCCCCCAGGTATCAGGGTCTTGGCCTCAAGAGCAAATGGAATGCGTAGATATTTATCCACTAAGTGATGGCTGGATAATTCTATCTGACCTATTATCGAGATGCAAACATCCTACTTAGCTGCCTGGGGCCAGAAATACCCCTGTTCATAGTCATGCCGATCCAATTGTCATGCCGCTGAATAAAACCATTCTAGATACCAAGATGTTGATCGCTATGTATCTCTGTCCACCGCCAAGCTCCTCCCAAGTAGGACCTTTCTCCATCTCTACATAGAAAAATTTCTCGCCCCCAACGGAAGTAAGTGAACCTCCGAATGTGGAGTTCTATGGGTTGTTAGTGCTCTTGGTATGGCCCTGATACCTTTAGCACGGTATGAAAACGACATAGACAGACAATCCTTACTATTCAAGGTCCCAATACGCCTTCAAAAGCATTATTCTATTTAAGAGAATGTATGTAAAACTGAACGTCTTTTTCTTTTTTTTTTTTTAAGTTAGGGGATCAGTATTGAAAAATATAAGAGCGCATTATTATAATTTATGCTTACTGATGGCTAGGGTTAGGTCACCTGTGATATTTCCCTAAGTTTACATACTACGCGCTGAAAGCATGCTTTGTTCTATATACTAGATCCACTGATATAGATGAGAATACACCAGTAGGTTGCATTTGTGTCATGGGGTAATTTACTAATACTATGTCCAGGCAGTTTTGAAGGTCGGTACTACGTAGTAGTACTCTTGACCTATCGGCAGTTCCCGATGCTTCGGTACGAACCGAGGGAAATCGGGAAGACGATAGTGATCGGCATCACTGAACTGCTTGGTATATGGCAATTAAATTACGTGAATATCACTTTGTTACCAATTCATTCCGCTTTTATATTTCGTATGTTCCCTGGCACTTCCTTCTCCCTAGTTAGTAATTGTCCTGGATTATCGGTATAGAATAGCTGGTGAGGTTATAATAATGGCTTCTATCCTACCACACCTCAACAGTCTCTCTTGCAGGGCATTCCCTATATTCTGCGATAAAATATAGGTAAATAATCTAAGATTAATATCTCCTAATAAAAACCATTAATATAGTCACCATCCTGGACTGGTTCCCTTCTCTGCTTCGCAGGAATCCTTGGCAGTGACCACAACATACAAATTTACATAACGTATTTCACTAGCGAGCGGCCATCCCCACTCCAATTCCTGTCTCTGGGCTAAATATAAGGGCATTTATCAACCAAACAAGTGTATTTCTAAATGAAAACTAATTACTAAGTAAACTAGGACATCTAACCCTAGTGTGCCCCCTAATATGACAATTAGAATACCTGGGGAGGGGGGGGGGGGCATTGTACACGCGGCCCAACTGCAGAAAGTGCATGTATCTTGAGCTTCATAATCCTTCTTTTCGCGCTGAAATCTCTCTAGGTTTTCCTTAATGATTGATCACTCTGCAATAGCTAACTGCCTTTTAGGGCGCTTCCGCTTTTGACTTTGTCATTCATTATCAGCGCGTAATTTGTGTATTTCCTCGCGTGCAAGAATAAGCTCATTAAGGTGTATTTCATGACCTTTAATAAGCTTGTTTAAGCGCTTTTCTAGCGAATATGAAGGGCTTGGAATACGGTCCCTAAGTAGTTCTATTGCTGTAGATGTCTGCTTCTCCAGCCGCCTAGTAGTATATAGCGTTTTTGGTGCTGAATTAATTGATCAACTGCCTGGTTTATAGGGGTCTTTAATTGGATATCCAACTTACTAACTACCCTATCAGAATCAAGTAGGACAAGGCCAGCGCCTATAAAGCTATTCAATAAATTTTCTGTTGTAAACGTACTTTGGCGAGCTTCTAGAAAGATCTTTAAAAAATTAAGTTTATCAATATATTATATAGTTAATGCCCAAGTGTATTCTCTTTTGTACTAAGGTGCCCTATGCACCTGAGAACAGTATATAACTAAAGGCTGAAGATTATTCGAAGAATACACAGGTATAAAGATAAGAATAATATTATTCCTACTACATACTTAATCACGTTGACACGTAAGATGGCTGCCATGGCCATCAAGAACTAGAAGACGGTATTTGCCAGTTATACGGCTGGTAGTAGCAGGTATAAGGAGACTTTTAAGCCAGCGAAGGCTTATCTCATTAGTAGCCCATTCATTAGGACTGACTTCAATCCTGCTATTAGATGGGAGCTCTAGCTCTTGATGCCAACTCTCTATATGGGCGCTCCTTTGAGGATAATACATGGAGAAAGCGCCCAACCAGTAAAGTTAATACACTCAATAGAAGCAATCCACTCCCAGCTGTCTAGCTGTACAAGAGGCGCCTTTCCATAGTAATCAGCTCTAGAAGCTATTTGAGCAGTAGCTGCCACTAATATTAGTATCTTACTTGACTATGTTGTTGTCAGTTCTGACATCGCTATAAGTAAATACTTATTCTTACCCCAGAGTAGACTCATCAATTCTAAGAAGGAACGTAGAAACTTGACATATATATTACTACCATAGTAGCGGGTAGAAAATTGTAAGTTGCTAAACTTCATCGCTGTCATAATATCTTTAAAAAAGGGATATTTATCAATACAAGGATTTTTGATCCCTTCCCCACAAACCCTCAACACAATGCCATTTTATTATCGAATAGTCCTTACTTAGTGGAAGATTTCATCCAGCTGGCCTTGTATTGATAACCGTGTTCAACAGTCTAAACTCAGTCCTGGTAAATAGAAAATACAACCATTTTGGTTATAACAGCTACAGCAGTCATTATACAGCTATAAATAACTTGAACTCAGATGAAATCTTTCATATACAGAATTTGTTACTCTATAATTCCTTTATCTGGTTACACTTAGTAGCCTCGCGGCTCTTTACTTGTGTATGAATGAGCTAAATTGAATTTTTTTAAAGAAACCTCGTTCTATCAACAACAACAACAACACGCATTTCTAGGGGAATCCCTATATTCAACACATCAGAGATGGATGGAGTTACAAATCCGCATTAGTCAGTATTCATTAAATGGTTTCCGTTCGTGGTTTGAACCCTTGATCAAAAGATGAACGAGTTTACCACCAACTTAAACAAGACAGAAAAGAAAGCCTCCTAAAGCCAACGTGATAATCGCAGAACTAGGGGCTGTGACAGCCGTACCGGCGCTCACGGCGGTCACGCTAGCTCCAGTTGTGGTGTTGGAAGTGCGAACAGCAGTGACATTCATGTTATAGTTGTTTTTGGCATCCATGGGGTAAGGACTGGTGTAGTTATATGTCGGGGAAAGGCTACCATAAAGACTTTTGACGGAATCAAGAACACCATGGCCAGCTGAGCATTGAGCATCTGTGATAGGAATTGGCCACACGGGTGAATATTTTCCAATCCAGCCAATGGCTGCACGGCCAGGGTATGTCTGATTCAGAAGCAAATGGGTAGTATCAACTTCGTAGTTAACGTAACCAGTCTTGTTGGACACGATCTCGAAAATGTTGGCCCCGCAGTCCCAGCGGCCTAAGGATGGAAGACCCCAGTTGGCAGAAACAGTAGCAATGCTTGAGTAGTGGGTATAGAACGTATCATCCTTGGTCCCCTTCAGATGATCTGGAACCGCGCCACCAACAAGCACACTGAAGACCCTGTTGTTTTCGAGGTACGCATCTTCATCAAACGTCAACAGCACTAGCGTGTTGTTCATAAAGTATGGGTCGTTAAATAGATTAGACATCCAGCCACGCTCCCATTTGGCGCCAAAGCTAATGTTGGTATCATGCGCATCGTTGGTAACATTAAGCGTGATGAAAGCCCATTGTGGCAGCGTCTTATTGGCTAAATCATCCTGAAAGTCTGTGAAACTTTTGATGCGGCGTGCGCGTGTTCCGTTATTAGTGACTGAGCGAAAGTTTATGAGGGGATTGTGCCTGCGAGCATAATTGTCACGCAAGGTGGCCTGATTGGAGTAGTTGAATCCCTGGAAACCGGCGTAGGGCAAGTGTTCCTGGTACTCTCCCCATGAGATATCTTTGGTGTCAAGAAGGTCAACAATTGTGGAAATGTTGGCAGGCATGTCTATCAAGCTGTCGTGGTCCATTCCCCAAGTGTCGCCACCGACCGATGCGCAATAATTAGGTTGCGAAGGGTGAGTGACGCCAAAGTAGTTGGTGCTGGATCGATCTAATATTAGGGAGCTGTTTCGAGGAGACATCGAAATGGCTCTTACAGAAGAATTCCTTGAGATGCTAGCCACTGCATGTTTTCATCGGCTCCCGCGTCTTCAAAGTTCTAAGGATATCTTAGAAGTTTTCTGGTAGAAAGGTCGAAGGGGATGACGCACTGTGTTCTCCATCCAGAGTTGATAAAAGCGATCAAAGGCAAGACCTTTAACATTAGAAACCGGGGACTCCGGTAGGGTTGTTGCGGCTGTAGCTTCGATTTCCGAGAGCGAGGGCCCGGAAGGGATGGTAACGTTAGGGTAGGGAGGCAAAGCGAGCACCAGCGCGGGTGTGAGTAGAGTGAGCCCCAGCGTATGTCTGAGTAGAACTTTCATCTTGAATGTCTACCGCTATTAACTGTACAATTGCTTCAAAAGAAATTGAATATCAAGAAAGTGAGTCGTCCCCGGAGAGGTTATCAATTCAGGGCTCATGTTGCGAATTTATATAGTAATAATATGCTGCTCAAATCGCGACAAGCTACTCGAAGTCCTATACTACTAATGCAAACAAATATTTAAATTTTCCGATTTTAATATCTCCAGGCAACGAACGTAAAGAGAATGAATGCCACGATGTATGAATACAGGATATGACTGGACGTAGCGTCCTGCTCGCTTCGAAGCGCCGCTCAGCTAAACGAACCGGAAAGGCTTGGCTCTGCGAGCTTAGGCACATTTATGAAGGTTGCTTGTCAGTGCTTGATTGCACTAGTACTGACATGGTAGAAACTGGCGGAGACGTTGCCGAACCCTGAAATCTCCCAAAGAAGCAAGGGTCCTATTCTTCACTAGTACCGAAACTTCCGGAGCCGAACCTCAAATGATAGTAAATCTAGCTAACGGTCACCCGATGATTTTTACCAAATTTACCAACGACAACGCACTATTATATAGCCAATTAGATCTATTTATTAGGTCCCACTATACTATCTACCAATTATAACTGTTGAAGTAACAGGATTAATGACTAGTCCGCCTCCGAAGATATTTACCGCTTTAGATACTTAACCCCAGCAGTATCTTACCGCTTCTAAAAATTATAGAACTTGTTCTCTATCTCTCGGCCACATCGCCCCTAAACTTAGGCTCTACCCCTACTAACTTTAGCCTCCGCAGCCCCTAAACTTCAGGCCCGGTCTCTGCACTACTACTACTACTACTACTACTACTACCACTACCACCACCACGAGTATTCCTGTAGCAGACCACACGCTCCTTCCCTATCGGGGTCCTCCTGCCACATCTTTTATTGAGCCCAGAGACCCATAGTTTTAGAAGAATGCAACAATTTCTGACCTTTTTCCTCTTGCATTTCTTTTACTCGTAGCAATTCCTACATTGATAAAACAAATTTTTGGAATTTTCAACGCTTTAATTTTATAATGCCTATATCAAGATTGTCTAGGTTTATACTGAGTTTCAACTTAGGTTAAGAATCACATGTAGAAGTTCTGACTGGTTCAGGACTTTGGGGCAATCGACCTAACTCCTGAGCACCTTCGAAAGAGGCACGTGCCAGAATCAACCTTAAACTTACCCGCAGGCACTCGGTCACATAAGCTCTCATAAAAATGCTTATGCATCTGTGTAGATCCACATTCAGCTTTTCCTCACAGGGTCATTCATTATCCATTTTCAGCATTCTAGTGCCTCGCTAACATAAGTCTTGGTAAGAATTGCAGTATTAGTTAGTTACCAATAACTAAGTAACTAATCAAATCGATGTCCCTGATGACATATGCTGTGTTTAGAACTCTGATTTCCTGGAAGATCAATCCCGACACGTGCTGGCTAGATGTTCCGAAATCTGCTTCTCTCCCTTGCCTATATCCTTGCTTTGTGATCATTTGCTAGCGGACACTACTCGATTTTCCTTTCCGAAATCTTTCTACAAATTGAGAAAGCAGATTTCGTCCAAGTCAAAGGCAGTAGTAGAAGTTTCTAATAGTGGAACTGTCAGATTACGTTAAAAGATTAATCACGAACTGCATCAATACCGTCACTTCCCCGTTTCTCTTCTCTGAGGCCACTTAGAAGAGGTGTTTGGAACGAGATATCACTGGCAATGTTGATAACTACAAGATACCAAAAGAAAAGAAAAGAAAACAGAAAATAGCTGTTCCAAGACTGAGCTCAGGGGCTCCCAGAACTACATCAGAAGGAAGATCTTTAAAACATGGTTGGATTGTAGGCCATCCGAGATCAAAAGAGTTATGGATTGGGGAGAAACAAGCTCTCAGAAGTATCTACTAAACATCCTGTAGCTACTGGTCTGACACCCCAGCCAGCCATCTCAACAAAAAGGGTATGACAAGTGATATTCATAAAGCCCAAATTTAGCTCAACCCTAGTCGGCGTAACACTTGACAGAGTTCACCTGGGGGTGAGTGTTTTCGTCAGTGCCCGGGTGCTGGACATCGCCAGTACCGCCGCCATTGCATGCGGTTGACCTACAAAAAAGCACAAGTCAGCCAGGAGCTCCCTACCAAAAGCACAAGCGGGAAGTACATACGACCAGAAGCGGCAGCGGTAACCGTCAGGGATCACAAAAGACCGGACGTTGTTCGAGACGGGAGTACCGTTCAAGTTGTCTATACGCGATCAATGAGTTAGCTATAATGATAGTGGTTGACTATATTTTTGGGGGGGTTCACGAACAGCATTGGTGCTGAATATAGACGTCAATGTTGATACAGTCACCAGCCTGGTTGATGCCATCGCAAATCTTGATGTTAATGGCATCTTCTGCGGTGGCGCCAATGGCGGCCGCAAGCATGACGAAGGCAGCAGTGAAACGCATGATGAACAGTTGGGATAGAGGAAAAGTGGTCTTCAAGAAACTGAATACCTCTCATTCTCGGGGCAGAACGCTACCCTTTATACCCTTTGTTGGCCCCCTTTTCTGGCTGCCGACCTGATCCATATGCGCCAATTCTGGGATTCAACATCATGCTGGATTTGGCTTGCAATGTACAACGTAACCTTTGCTGAGAAATGGCCCCCAAAGCCATAGATTCAAGTGGAGATACAACAAGAGATGCGACAGGATAAGTCGTCTAGTAGGGAAAGATACTATACACATTAGTTTCGAACCTGGCCAATCCAAAAGAGGTACAGCAGGAGTTGAGAGTTAGCCTCACTTTGGGGTACCATCCCCACAGGCTCCAGCTCTTCCGGGCCTTCCGGCACAGGAGGTTCCATGATGACGGGCCGAGGTGCCACATCCAGAGGAGATTAAGCGAGAAACATCTTCAGGGGGTCAGATTTTGGCGAATACTGCGGAGTGCTTATACAGGCGGTCTTGGCTTGCCGTAGAAGGTTAAGATCAAATGAACCGTGTGTTATTTAGCATTGCCATTTCAATGCTTAACTTTATGCCAATGTCCGATCCACACTTCTTCCCGAGCTTCACTGGAAGACGGCTGCAACCTCTTTGTACCAATAATAGTATTCTATTCCTAGGAACGTCTATAGAGTATTTTTTTTTTTTTTTTTTTTTTTTTAGAGGAGTATCGTAAATACAAAGTATAATGGATCCGACTTCTCTATTTCCTTTCGGTGAAGTGTTATGCTCTACCTTGTTGGGTCTTAACCGTGGGGGCCAGATTTTATACAAGACTTAGCCTAAGATCTTACTCCGTAGACTTGCTGGCTGCCGATTTTATTCGAGTCATTACTTATGCTAAACTAATTATGCCTACTAAGATGTTCGGCCTATTGGCTTAATTCAATCTGGTACTGTACACTAGTAATATTAGACTGCCTATAGTTGTGGAGACCGGCTTTCATCGAACATCTCAATTACCACATTAAGTTTGGCGTGAGTAATAATAACTCGATCTAAAACCGGTAACCAGCAACTTCGAGTGTGCACTAAGATCCTAGACTGCTTGCGCTTCATTTGGTTGGTCGGATTTAATTCCATCCTAGCCCCTCAAGCGACTTGAAAAGAAATTCATCAATTGGTCCAGCGCGTACTTCCGCGCTCAACCAAAGTACTCTACCTACGCTGTGGCATTCTAGGCCATAAAATTCCTCAAGGTCCTAATCATATATATATAGGACGCGCGGTTGCGTGGAATGCTTCGTCGACCTACGTAGATGGTACGCACTTAGCGCGATTTGGCGACTTGAAGGTTTCCGGTGCAGATTCGGTACTGCGTAAATGCAAGGATCGGCTCGTAGACCCACCAACAGAATCCCTATTGGAGCCGGGCCAGCTCGCGTAAGGACCCGAATTCTTCAGCGCGAATTTAGAGTTCGAGCATGCAGCCATCAGTTGCCGAGGTGTTGAATTCACAGTTACTCCGTTAAGTGTCCCAGAATGTACAGTAAGACAGCAATTCTGTTCAACACGTTGATTCATGGCTAACCTTGACATTACGAATTTACTAATGGTCTGATCGCTTTCCTTGGACATATTCTCTCTGTCTATCTTGGGTACTCCATCTCCTGCGAAAATCTAAATTACACTCCAACATGCTACTTCGTAGGTATGTTAGCGATATTAAGACCTGGCATCATAGAATCAAGGCGTTTCGGAGTCATCTAGAATAGCTTTCCGAGCAAAAAAAGAAAATAATAATAATAATAATAATAATAATATTAAAGAAAAACATACAACAGGAGGGATTCGCTGGTGGTCACCCACCCAACTACTAACCTCCCGGCGTGTGGCTTATGCGCGGTCAATAGGTCGCTGGGAGTCAATGTCACGCCCTCCAGCGTCCTTGGTGTGGGTACCGTTTAGACAGGGTTGCTTACTGGCACACCTTGCACTATCCTGGTGCTGATCTGTACTGCCCTACCGCTGACCGGCCGGGATCACACCCAGTCACAAGCCGTCTGCCGAATCCGCCTGCCATCTTAACAGTGTCATTGGCACAAAGCCCCGCCCGTTGAGACACCTGAGTATCTGGACGATTGGCCTTCGCTACCTTTTGTCAGGAAACAAGCTGAGTGGTTTGTCTATTTGTTGTATACATGATTATTATTTTATCAAAAAGAGAGTTGTTTATGGTATTCGGGTCGTTACCCACTGTGTTGATATTGTCACAGTATCTTTCTGTTCTAAAAGATGGTAGAAACACGATTTGTTTCAGTAGCCGCCGGTTTATCAGGACAAGAGACAGAAGACTATACCGGAACCTACGTTCCCCAAGAGTAGAACAAACCTGTCCGGATAACCAAGTGGCCAAAGGCATACCTATGTAAACAGTACAATATCTATCAAACTAGAGACGACCAACAGAGGTTAGCCCGGCCCGACAATCTATGGCTCCGATTAAAAGAGACCATAGAATATTGATCCTAATGGCATATTCCTATAACTAATTGGTATTTTTAGTCGAGTAGAAAGACTCATAGAATATTTACTATCGGCCGAGGCTGATAAAGAGTATAGAATAAACTGGCTATATTACCGAAGCTCTGGTTAGGGGCGGCTGCTCTGTATGCCCAAGGTGGCACTGAGAAAGATACAAACCAATTACCGGCTAGTATACCGAGTAATCAACAGGTATTATTAGGCCGTGAGAACTATCAGAATAAATATTCTGTATCATGAATATCTATATAGTTCGAATCTAGTAAGTAGAATTAGTGACTGAGTACTCCATAGCTTCTTTGGTTCATTTGCCTAGGATTATATATAGTAATCTTGTAAGTATTGTAAGAATACGAAAGAAAAGAAGGACAAAAGAAAAAAAGAATATAGGGTTTAGTAAACACGGCCATTGACTCTATATAGTTCGCAAATAGATACTAAAATTGTCCGGTGGTGGTATTATTTGAATCAAGAGGAATATTTATAATAAAGTCTGCAAGACTATCGGGAACCATCCAGTAGATATCTTAAGACAGGTTATCTAAATTCTAGAATTATCAGGCACCTATAGCTGTCGGTAGAAGGCTATGACTATATACAATATTATCTACACTTCTAAGATATTGGGAAGTACATTATATAGATTCTAAGTTATAAATTCAGATAAATATTTGTTCCGTGATTATTTGGCCAGTTAGAATAGTCTTTCGGGCTTATTTCTAGATCTGAAAGTGGGACTGTCTATTGATAATTACAGCTATACTAAAGCACCCTATATCTACACACACTACTAAACTTCGGCTACTGGCAGCGATCTCAGGAAGATCCATAGCGATGCTGAGTTAAGATCTTAGTTAACACCACCTTATATATAAAGAATATAACAATCTCTTGTAGCTCGGGTAGTCAGGCTACTCTTTACCTAGTTATATTACCTATTATATCTCTCTATAGCTATTTAGAGTGGAAAGATAAGTAAGTCTACTCATATTAGGCTTTGTTCATACTTACTGTTCAATCTACAGGATTATACAGTTAGTTGCCCTCTTGCTTGAGCGAAAGGCAAATAATACTATAAGAAACAAGGAGAAACAAAACTCGATAGAGATCAGTAATAAAGCCGCCTCCAATTGCCTGCGCCGTAGCTAACGAGAAGTCACTGTATATATATAGCTACTCGATACACCCACTCGATGTATATAGGCTACTTTTGGTCCATTTAATGAACATGTAGAGTTCCACGCTTTACTTCGGAGGCATATTCGTATTGAGGGCTACACGCAAGTATCAAGCAAAGAAGTCACTGATTGTCACTCCCCGTTGTTATCGAAGTTGCTTTACTCACGTCGACCTCTGTCCTCGAAATATTATTGTGGATAATGGGAAAGTTGCTGCAATCATTGATTGGGAATTTGGTGGCTGGTATCCAGAATATTGGGAATATACTAAAGCACACTTCGGTCAGATTGAAATGCCGGAATTTTACGAAGGATTGAAATTGGCTATGGCGAAGTACGATGTTGAGCTGAGAGCTGAACAAACTCTCTGGAGACAATGCGATCAACCAGGAATGCCACTGGAATAGTTATTACTAGTCACTATGGCATCTGTTTACAACTTGAATTGGTTTTATCGTATCCAAGTTTAAAGGGAGGTATGCTGCATAAGATAATATGATCTAAGGCAACGGTTGGCTGTAATTGATGATTTTCTAGGAAGCGAAATCGATCCAACATGGGTCTGTATCCAATCCCCGCGTAAGTGACTCCATTTAGAAGCTTCCCAATCATTGCTGCCCGAGTGGTTAGGTGGGTCAATACTGGGAATTACATCAATACAACACCCTTTGCTTCGTACTGAGAGAGCTCTGCTGTATTAAACCATAACATGGACCACGAACACAAGGGACCGCCTCAAGCTATGATGGGTAAAGTATCTTAAATATCAAACCGCGAGAAAACATCTCGCTGGGCCACCTCCAGCTCCTTCATGATAGTTGCCCGTCGCGCTTCCGACCTCGGCTTGATCACGCAAGGGAAGTCCTTCACACAAACCAAAAACCCCTCGCTGTAGCCAGTCTCCGGGCGGAAGTCGTACTCAATTGGTTGGCCTTCTTCATTCAAGCTGGCCTCAATGGAAAATGCCCAGATCAGCTTGGCAATCGCCAGGAAAAGATTCCGTTCGGCGAGGTGGATACCGGGACAGATACGCCGCCCAGAGCCATAGCCGTAGTGATCACGGTTTTCATAGTCAGCCGCTGCTGCGAGCTCGGGAGCAAGCGCTGTCTGGCCCTTGTAGTGGTCAGGATCAAACGTGTCGGGGCTCGGGAAGCGCTTTTCGTCGTGGTGCATGCCCCACGAGTTGATGATGACTGTAGTATCTTTGGGGATGAAGTAACCGTCGATCCAATCATCTATAGTCATTTGTGAACTGGAAAACTTGATGCAATGGTACCAAGGTTACTTACCTTCAGCAGCAGCATGTGGGAATGCGAGAGGTACAACAGGCCGCCACCGTTGGACTTCTTTCACGATCGTCGCCACGTACGGCAGTTGTGCATAATCCGACCAAACCGGAGTTCGGTCTTCACCGACAACACTGTCAATCTCCTTCTGCGCCTTCTCAAGGACCTGACCCCATTTCGTCATAGCATGGATAAACGCAAGGACAAGGGAGCTTGTGGTATCTGAACCCCCTTCCATCAATACACCACCGAGGAAGTAGAGTTGATGGTGGCTGAGGTGTAGTTGTTCTCCTTGATCTAGTAGGGTATCCATGAGAGATCCTTTGCTTCCTTTCAGTTTGCGACGCTCATGGAGACGGTTCAGCACACTCTCATATAGCCCATTCATCTCGTCCCCAACATTTCGCGACCTCGAGAGCCAATTGTCAAAGAACTTCTGTGGGATGTAGTGGAGCAGGGGATAAATATCAACTGGGGGGGTCGCGCCAGGCTCCATTAGCTGAGACCAGTTCTCCTTTAGCACAAGAAAGAAATCAATCAGCTTGTAACCCAGTCATGTCAATCCAATCATCCCTCACCATCATATCATATAGACGAGTCATATGTGGAGTATCCACTGAGGGCGTCCGCAAACCGAACACTGGAAGGGTCAGTCACAGTCCAAAAGGTTTCAATCGTTGGTATGCTCTTTTGTGAATTGAACCTACCTAAGCTCATAATGATGCTGTTACTGAAGCGTTTCGGGTGGCGCATGTGTTGGTCGGGACGCACACACATATCACGGAGCATCTGCACTGCTTCGGCATTCTGAACCTCAATGTGATGCTTCTCCACCATGGACTCCATGAAATATTGGTGAACTAGTTTCCGAGCGGCTCGCCACTGTTGTCCGTACTGCATGACCAGGAGATGATCGCCGGATGTCATGAGATCGTGCGAGACATATGAGGCTGGTCGATTGCTATATTTCGCGCTTCTCTTGTCTACAAGCTCTTTGATGATGCGGCGATCGGTGATGACGACTGCCGTTCCGTGGCCCAATTTCAAAGAATAAATACCGCCGTATTGCTTGGCCCATTCGGTGAACCTAGCTCCAACAAATATCAGTGCTAGTATCGAGTAGGATGGGTCGTGTTCAATCACTTCAAGTAGGATCCCTTCTTTGGAATTTGGTGAAGGTTCCCAAGAATAGGCAATGTTGGAGGCCCTAAGGTAAAGAAAAGCTCAGCTGTGTCTCAATGTAAAATACTCTCCATCTGGTTCCTACCTGGAGGAAGATCCTTGGCCCGTCTCCCTGTCTTCAGGGCTAGGTATACCAAGCCCAACAGGGCACAAGGGATGAGAATAACACTAAGCATTGTTGTGAGTATGTAGAAGACTCGTGAAGTCGACACCTCAGCTTCCACGATTCACACCCGCCAATGTCTCTTATTTATACCTGAGTAGTTCGACCCCAGGTTCCCCACGCCAGGAAGAGGTTAAATCAAGGGGGTGTGGAGATGCGGGGTCTCGTAGGTCAAGACAAGGGTGTAATTGCTACCGGACCAACTTCGCGCAAACTTCGCGGTAACTTCGATTTTCTCTAGTACCCAAGCAGGAGGGAAGTCATTTCCTGTGTCATATTATTGGAATGTAGCCTGTCATGGGAGTGTTATGGCAGGAGTCGGCAGCAGTATATCAACACAGATTCTTCAACAGCGATTGATTTTTGCTTATTTATGTCTGCATTTATTCCGCACAGGTATTTGTCATAATAGTGTATTTTGAACTTACAAATATCGACCGGAAGAAAGTCACGGATTCACTGAAATATTGACCTATCCTAATTCAAAATAGGATTATGCCTAGTTTGTTTTTTTCTTTCTTTCTAATTCAGAGAACGACACAGAGATCGCAAAACAAATTTCCAGAGGTCCTTCACAAGCAAGAAAGACGAGGGAACAATTTCAAGGCATTGCCACGGTCGATATTTTCCGCATCCTGCTTTGAGAGCTTAGCCTCATCCAGCTCCTTGCTAAAACGCCTGACTGTAGCCTCCGGGGCATACGGGAAATCGCTTCCAAAAAGAATATGATCAGGAAGAGCAAACTTCTCTAGGAGAGGCAAGGCGAATGAGGAATCTGTCAGCGCTAAGTCAAAGTAGAACATGCGCGCATTCTCGATAAAATGTTCGGGTGTCATGTCGGAGAGACCGAGATCTTTTAACATGATGGCTGGGCGCCTGGCCAGGTAGGGCAGGTTGCCACCCCCGTGAGACAAGATGATCTTGCAATGACTGTACTTACGCACGGTATCCGTAGTGATGAGGTCCACCGCTGTGCGAGTGGTCTCATGCGGATAGTCAATCATAGGCTGAGGGAGCATCTTGTTGACGAGGTTGGTATCTATCGGATGCGTTGGATGAACAAACACCACCGCTGCACGTCGATCCAGCTCTTCCCAAATCGGCTGGATAGCGGGGTGTCCTAGATAATAGTTCCCATTGCCATAGCGGGTAAAAAGAGTTACGCCATCTGCTTGAAGCTCATCAAAAGCATATCGGATTTCCTCCAACGCCGCCTCGGTATCCAGAATATCCGGTAGCGCAGCAAAGAACCCGTAATTCTTGGGATACTTTTCCCTCAGATCTCTACCAAACTCATTGCATCCTCTCGCGAGACGAGCTGACTCAGCTCCCTTAAGGATTCCCGCGCCGGGGGCAGTCACTGATAGAATCGCCGTTTCAATACCACAATCGTGGCAAATCTTTTGGTCGGCGTCAAGGGACCAAGCGGGTGTGGGCCATCCGGAAGGATCTCCCCCCGTTTTGTCAAGGGCTTTTTGAATAGGTTAACGTCATGGGCATTTTCCGCTGCATGCAAGGTCCACGTACCTTGCAAATAGACAGGGGGGATGTAGTGGTGATGCACATCGATACGCCGTGCCATTTTGATGGGGTTTCGTAATAGTTTTGCGACACAGACTCACGTGGGTGTTCTTTGCGCTTACTTGCCGCGATTAAACAGTGTCTGCGAAGCGGACTTATATAGCCTTTCTGTTTCATAGAATAAATACATTGGCCAAGCCTTTTCGCCTTGCGGATAACCCGGAAGGGGCGGCCTGCAATTCTGTATCTTGTTACGTTGTAAGTTTATTTTGTGGAGCTCAATGGCACCGAAGATCGTCCGTCCGAGGCGTTCAGCACTTCGACTGTCATTCCCCAATCAGAGATCCTAAACCAATACAGTAGGGATTCGCTATGATGGCCTCTGCGACGCTTGGGGATTCATGGTTTATATAACCGTATAGCTAGTTAGCTATCGGGATTGGATGCAAGCATCTGGACGTATGCGAAAACATGCTTATACCTAGAGCCCTAACTGTATTTACAAAGGACTCAAGTAAGACATTCCCGAGTAAAGATCTTTTTATTAGACTATAGTATCTCTACTAGGTACCTAGATTTCCTGTATTTAAATTAAGAATTTTGGCTATATTCTATAAATAGGACTACATATTCTATACAATCTACCAATAAGGACTAGAGTCGCTATTCGGAACTCGTTGCAGAGTCCTGGGTATAAGTTATAACCCGCTGTTAGTATCGCCTATTAATTCATTGTTAACGTAGAAAATAATGTAATATATGAATTAGAACGTTTACTGTTCTTCAGGCTATTTTAGGATATCGGTCCGTACTCGCATCGTTCTGTTTTGTTGGTAGGGGGTAGCGTATATTGACCAGCTCTTCGATCCCTCTTTGAAAGTCTCGATATACTCTACTTCGAAGGTAGCTAGCGATCTTGTCCTAGATTGAAAGTCACTGCCGTTGAGGTTGGTATATTCATCAGTCATGAATCATATACTTCACTAGTAAAAGTTCTCGAATGAATGACGTCACACGGGCAAGTCGGACTGTCTTCGGGGTGATTTTGCCATTCGCAACCCACGGCTAACCGGCATTAGGTTGTTGATCAGCGCTCGCGGGAGGCGGAGTTACTCCGTAATCTTCGACGGCAACGGATCCCCCGACAGCAGCCCACCCACCCGACAGATGGGCACAAGCGCAACCCCTACAGTAGGCCCTCTAATGCCCTATTTTCGCATATCCGTGGTCATGTGAAGTGCGGATTATGGTTAGTCCATACAGAATATTTACGCCACGTAGGGCCTAGATAGGATTCAATAAGCGGGCAGAGAAATCCGGGTACAGGGCCATTTCTATTTACCTCCCTATATCTGCGCCAATACCAGGTAACGCGTCGGAAAACTAAGCCACAAGGAGTGGCGCAGCTGTATGTCAGCTGACTGATCAGCTCAACGGGCTCAAGGAATATATTTCTACACCCACAGGGTATTCAACCTGGACCCTATAGAACCTCCTTTAGGTTGTATTTAGTTGCCATATTGTATTGTCGGGCTGTCTAATCGTGACGAAAGAATCCTTGGTTACCCCACTTGAAGATTGGTTAGATAGATTCTGTGACGGTTACAAATCTGTTTGCGACCATTTAAGTCTACCTTACTCGTAAGATTCTTTGCATCAGTTGGACAGCGAAGGTGGGTGCTTGATAATAAATTCAAGGAAGTTCTTCTAATTCTGTATATCTGCAAAATATAGCTGTTGATCTTGTGTCAGCGCTGAGAAACTCCCATCACCAGCACTCATACTAAAGGCTTTGCCATCCACGTTTCAGATTTTTAGTTAACCAAAGGGCTCTTTAACTATCAACCGCGCGTATTATGTGGCCTAAGTACGGCTGAGCGGACAGGAAGCCCTGTTCTCCATACCCTGTGGTCGTATGTACTAAAATTTTCTAAACTAATGATATAACTGGTTAAACATATTATGTTAGATAATTGAATAGGATTAATGGGTGGGAAAGTGGACGTCCTCTGCATATCAGCCCTCCTCTGTACACTGGCACAAGCACATACGTAGCAGAAGGTTAAGCTAAGTGCTTGTTTACGTTAAACTTTTAATATCGTCTGCCCTATTAGCGCCTCTTGCCAGACTAGTTGGACTTGAAGTGTGGCCCGTAGTAGTAGCCTGGTATCAAGTCCGACTGCTGTTGAAATATATATCTTCCGGGCTATGATTTCGTCAGAGCTTATACACCTGACTTTCTTCACCTTGGTATAAATTGAAAGAACACATTATCTCCCCCCTTTCAGTTTGTGGCCAGATGGGTAGCTAATTCACGTATCCCTATTATTGATGCTAGTCAGTATGTAAGATATCCCAACAGAGTAGGTCCTTGGGGAACCCTTTTCCCAAGGCAGTAATTCCTATCGACGAAAGTCAAGGCGGTGAGCCTTTTGAACAATCAGAGGCCGACGAGGATAAACCGTAATTCAAGTGTTCGTCCTGCCTGACCGCCTCCACACCTGGGGCGCGTCTTGTTTCCTCCGGTGATTCGCAGCAATCAAAGTCCGACTGGTTTTATTCCATTGATGGCCATAGGGAATGGATCCTCTCGCTTCGTCTCATCAAGCAACAGGTGAGGGGATGGTCCTATCACCAGGGACACATTCACTGTCGGAGAGCTCTTATACAGCTCATCCACGTTTTCTCGAATTACAAGAGGAGCTCCGAAGTGCCCTTTTCACAGCTGTTGCTGATTCAACCCCAAAACAATCATACCTCGTCGAAGCGCCAACCGAGCCGGGGCTCTCTGAGCTCCGGCGTGACGTAGATCTCTTTGCGAGGTCTCCCGTACCCAAGGCGCGATCGATCAACTATCTGAAGAATTGGATCACAGAATGCGCGCCCTATCTCGACAAATTCGACGAAGCCCGCCACTTTGGGGTCCACATTCCGATTTTAGCGCGAGAATCCCCCGGATTATTCTACGCCATCCTTGCCTTTTCTGCCCGGCAGACGGAAAGGAAAGCGGGTCTCCGCAACTGCCATGATAGCCTCGAGCTCTATCAAGAGTCAATCCGTTGGGTATCTCCCGGCCTGCAAGCAAAGGATCCAAATGTGCTGGTGACCGCCTGTATTTTAGCAGTCATGGAGTTAATGTCCGTCAGTCCGCAGGACTGGAGACGTCATGTCGATGGCTGTGCGGCTTTATTTGACTGCTTCAGTGTAAATGGTTTTTCTGGAGGTCATTTACAGGCTGTCTTCTGGTGCTATGTCCGGATGGAGCTGTGTGGAGTAATCGTTTCCAACGGTGCAGAGAGGACGGTTCTTCCTCTTGAGAAGTGGGTTCCTGCTGGATCTATGGGCCAAGCTTCGGAAAGTATTGAGGACAACGAAAAACGAGTTCGGGAGCTATTTTTGGAACAGAGTCGCCTGACTCCAGATATGCACGCAAACTGGGCCGTATATCTGTGCGCCAAAGCATGCGATTTAGTGTGCAGGCGCACAAGGCATGTGGAGCTAGGAGAATACGACACTACCGACCCGCGACCGTTTCCTGAGCAATGGAACCGACTATGGGATGAGCTGCAATATTGGCTGGAACAACGCCCGATAGCGATTCTCCCCGCTAAATCTACCAGTATGCAGGGGGATCGCATGTTCCCGGAGATTTTCTATGCTCACCAGGCAGCTATATCCAGTAATCAATTGTATCATACAGCCTGCATCCTGTTGCTGGAGATCAAGCCCCCTGTCACATTGCTCCCCCCGTCAAGTCACTTAGCCTCCTCAGTTTGGCACGCAAGGCGGGTGTGCGGCATTTCACTGACCAACCCACATCCGGGTAACCTCATCAATGCTATTCAGCCGTTATATATCGCCGGAAAGCTTTTGACTCATCGGCGCGAACATATAGCTGTGGCTAAGCTCTTCAAAACCATTGAGCAAACAACAGGATGGGGGGCGCTATGGCGACTTAGGGACCTTGAAGCAGTCTGGGGCTATGAGACGAACGAGATTCTATCAGCTATATGATTACGAAGGTGTTGCCTTCGCCACCAATAAAAGGCTTGACCGTTTCCAAGTGCAACAGGGGTTGCTGTTTTTCAAATAGCCAAGACTAATTTGGCCCCAAAAACGCATCTGGACGCGCAAGGCTTTGCGTCAGCAACAATTGAAAGGCTATAGCCTTTAAGCAGGCGATTTACGCACACCCAGCATATAGTGCATGGATATCGCTCCAAACAGCTGTGCTTCGTGATCTGGAGTACGCCAAAACGACACTATCGCATGCAATGTATTAAATTACCCTCGGTCATAATTGAGCGATGCTAGCGATTCAATATTCATAAAGGTCAAGTTCGTCATCATTCAACGTCTACTACAGCATTATACATATATTTCAAATATCGTGAGCACACGGCAAGGTCGTCACATATTAACCCGCTTTATACCTGCTCGAGATGTGACCCATAGCCATCTTTCTCGATGTGTACTGGACCCTTCGACAATCGTTCGATGCATGCGGTCAGGCCAACCTCTCTTTGCGCCTCACGCAGCATCTCGGCGTCCTGCTCCCCGGTATTGCTCTTGAAGACACGGTCCATCTCCTCGAGCGACGCATTCTTGGTCTCTGGGAGGAAGAACCACACCCAGACAATACCGACACCCAGGAATACGGCGAAAAAGATATATGTACCCCATGCCCATGCTTCCAGCATTGGTGGTACAAAGAAGGCGATGGCAAAATTGTTGATCCAATTGCTAAACGCTCCAATCGATGCACCCTTAGCACGAATAGAGAGAGGGAAAATTTCCGATACCAATGTCCATGAACAAGGACCCCAGGTGGCACCAAAACCGGCGATATAGAGCCAGATAAGTGCTGTCGCCTTAGTTAGCCCAATCTGGATCCATGTAAAGCTAGTAGCAATGGGGCAAGATGAAGATGCTTACCGACAGCACTCCAGCCTGCGGCCTCGTGAGAAGGCCAATCGTGCCGGAATTTAGCCACGATCACTCCAACAATTACCATGCTGAGCAGCATGACCAGCGAGCCGACTAAGAGCATCGGCTTTCGACCGACTTTGTCAATGATCAACTATTGGCAATTAGTGGGATGTGCGATTGTGGACGGATTTGGGGTTTCATTTACATACCATGCCTGGCATCGTGCTGATAAGGAAGACCACGCCAGTCACTCCAGTCGCCAAGAGAGCAACAGTACCACTCGTAAGTCCAAGACTGGTGAATACATTAGACGCGTAGTAAATAACTGTACGTCTCGTTAGCAGCTTTCCAAACGGACTTGGAGAGAAAAATGACCTACTGGCATCGACACCACTCCATTGCTGAAAAAACATAACCAGCCATGCAGTGCAGACCCGTTTGAAGTTGCCCATGGTCCGGAAACAGTTCGCATATTGTGCGATTTGGCTCATGAAAACACTCTTGTTTTCTCTTTCGGCTAGCCAGGGTGTCGCTTTGGCGAACGCCCTCTTTTCAAAAAGGGCTTCTGCCTTCATCTCCAGAAATTCCATCTGAACTAGCTCACTGTCCTGTGGCAGCTTCCGTATCCAGGCAAGCGTGGCGAGGGCCTCTTCATCCCGGTCCTGTTTGACCAGCCATCTGGGAGAGAAAGGCATGAACCAAATGCCGCAGGCTAGACAAACGGCAGGGATACCTTGGACGATGGAGGGCAGGCGCCATGCCATGTCCGACTGCGTCTCGCCCGTGCCCCCAATGTAGTTACTTCCGTAACCCACCCAGAAGGAGATCATGATTCCAAGAATTGTGGCGAATTGATAGAAAGATACCAAAAGACCACGCATCTCGGGCGCTGCCAATTCGGCATTGTACAAGGGCCCGACACCGCTAAACAGACCCACTCCTATACCCGTGAAGAATCGTCCGGCGTACAAGAGTGACGGGTTGCCATCCGTGGCACCAACGTAAAGATAACTCCCTAGGATAACCCAGCAGCATGCGACGAACATGGTGTACTTTCGTGAGTAGATTTCACCCAAAACACCTGCAGACAAGGACCCCACAACTCCGCCCAACTGCAGAATCGAAGTCAACCATCCCGTGGCTGTGGAGGAATCCACCACTGAGGGGAAGTTCTCCATGAAGCGGGTCATAACCAACGACTGTCCCAGGACACCTTGCTGGTAGCCATACTCAAAACCACCAAAGCTATATGGGTGTCAGTTATGTGGACAAAACACTCTATATGTCAAAGGCAACAACATACGAGGCGAAAAATGCAATGAAAAGCACTTTAGGGTTATTCGCGAGGGACCGCCACATCGATGTTTTGGCAACCTGGACATGCTGGAAGTCATTGGCTTCCCGGTCGGAGGACATGTCGACGGCCATTGTGACAAAGGGATTTCACGTAGCGAAGAAAGATGAGTCCGGGGACATTCCGGGGAAGGGCCATGTGGGATCTGGGGAAATATATATGTCCCAGTTTTCCCCTTGATTTTCCATTCACTCTCGGATTGGCCCATAATGGCCGAAAACCCTTCTTCTCCAGGTGACATGTTTTAATGATTTTTTATTTTCGATTTTTAATTTAACTTTCTATGGAGACTGCAGAGTTTGGGGCTTATTTTTTGCCGCCACCTTGGCAATGGCATGTTGCCGAATGCACGTCGTTACCTGGAACGAGGGGTCTGGAGCCTCTGTTTACCGGATTGGGACGATCAAACAATTATTTTCTGGGTTCACGTGGTGCATTAGGGCTAAAGTTAGGTAATAATTTCCCCCCTCGTGAGTCAAGCCCCCCAGAGTCGGGATGAGGGACAAGCTCAGGGCTGCTAGCATTTTAGTGTGAGAGATTCATGCTTGGCACGGCCTTGAGTATTTGGTAAAACGTTTGTTGTCCTCACAGTACTCAACTTTAAGGGTATTAAGCTCTATTCCGGTCATATATAGCCCTCTTGGGTTACAGGAAGGCTATATATCAGGAATATGATGTTAAGCACTTCTTCTGCAGATCTTCTGCAAATTGTTGAATACCGAGGGGTATCTAAAATCCACTCAAAAGGCCGTGCCAAGAAAGGTGAGTGTCCGTCTGGATGCTTCTCCAGTTTTTCCTGTCGGCGCCGTCCGGACCCACTCCGGACAATTATTCATTTTTGGGGTGCGGAGGCTCGACGTCCTCTTTTCGGCGGTCCTTCTCCATAATTTTGCAGACAACAACAACACCGTCAACACGCTATGCCGCCTAGCAAACCAACCCCGGGTAAGCAAAAACGTGTGCGCACGGGATGTTGGACGTGTCGTCGGCGGAGAAGGAAGTGTATGGCTTTCCCCACATGTTTCATGATCCGGTGGCTGACCCCAGGATTTTTCAGGCGATGAACGAAAACCTCGCTGTGAAAATTGCGAGGCGAAGGGATTTTCGTGTCGGTATGGCGCCGATCTTACCTTTGTGTCAGTACCGAACCCAAGGACACAGTCACCAAAGGGCCCGGCTACGAGGGCTTTGAATTATAATACGATCCAAGTAAGATGATTTCATACGTGTAGTAGCATTGAATTTGCTAACTAACGAGTAGTTTATTGATGACCGCCCGGCGACGTCAAGTATAACATCTAACTGTGGACCTCTTGCAAATGGTCAGGGTACTAGCACCGGCGCAGTTCCGGCTGCGAGTGCTACCCAAAGCTCTATCATCGACCAACCGGTCGAACAGGCCACTGCTGATCGTGCCGAAACTGATGAATTCAACCGGTCCGCATATCTTTCAGGTCTTGATGCCGATATCTCCCGGGAATCCACGTTCTCGGATTCTAGTACTGCCTCCCAGCTCCGAAATAACCCTGGGACCGTTGCCAAGGGTCGGAGTTTGGCTTATGTTTCGGGAAATTGCAGCTCTAGCTCCTGTGTCCCCATCACCAGCAACCCGGCTCATCCCATCTCGACCAGTGAACCTGATGAGATTGCTCTGCTGCGTTACTTCCGCTACCATCTGGCCCCGTGGATCGATATTGGGGACCCTGAATGCGGATTCGAGATTCAGGCATTTCTCCTAGCAAAGACCGAGCGGCCACTGTTGGCTGCCATCATGGCGCTTGCCCAGATTCATTCTTCACTACAGCGAAACAGCGATGCTATCGAGGTGAATGCTACGTTTCAGGAAGAGGCTGAACGTGGTCTCGCCCACGCGGATGATCCTGTCAAGTCAATGGGACAAGCCCTCTTGATGTTGCACGACTTCTTCTTCTCTCGTCCGCGACAATGGCGAGAGTTTCTACGAGCTCACACACGTGGATTGAGTGGCCTTGATTTTGCGGATACCCCACAGGGTTTGCTAAACCAGCCATGGTGGCTGCTCCACTCTCGGATTGGTACGCTATCCCAGTTTCATCCACCCGCTTAGAAGAGTGACAAGGCTGACATCTGTACCGAAGATCTTGCTGCGGGTATCATTAGTGCAAAAGCGCCATTGATGTCATACCGCTCCCAATTATTATCTGATGGCCCATTCCCACTAGTGCCACAGCAACGACCGGCCAAATGGGTCTTCCTACGTGTTCTGCTTCTTCTAGCGGATACTTTGTCAATCCTTTTCAACCCAGCTGATAGGTTATCCCCAAGTTCTGAACGTGGCGGGCAGCTAGCTGTACACGCCTTACTTCAAACGGACTTTACGTCACGGTGGGTGTCTCTATGGTCCAATTGTCAAGAATGGTACCACAATCGCCACGTGGAGATGCGGCCGATTTTAGACATTCGCGGTGTGGAGGCGGATGAGATTAATTCTGGAACCTGCTCCTCTTTTCCTATCCTTATCTACACGTCTCCTCTTGCCCTTTTGGCCAACACTATCTACCATATATCCTCATTCCTTCTCCTCATTCATAAACCAAGGCTACTGAAGACCATAGCAGGTCCGAGACGTTTCACCTCACGCATCTGGCACGCTCAGGCCATTGCAGGAATTGCTACAAGCAATGAGTTCAAGGAGCAGTGGGACCCGATCCTGATTGCTAGCCTTCTCACCGTAGCACCAGAGATGACCCACACATCGCAGCAATCAACTCTGCTCAACCTACTGGGTAGTATTACTACGGCCACTGGAATCAAGTTAGATTCTGAGATAGGTAGCCTGAGATCTAGCTGGGACATCTCACACTTCGATGAAGACACGGTAAACTGATGGGTAATGTATTCATTATCATGATTCTTGGTGGTATTCTGCGGATATTGCTTCGCCTCATTGGTGATCTGCGATCTCATATGCAAATGGAATACTTTCAATTGCGCCCTTTCTCTGCACACACATGGCAGCCGCCTGGTTCGCCTGCTGTACGGCAGACTCGATGAAAGCATCAAAGCCCTCGAGAGGCTGTCCCATCGCAGCGTAGTTCGCAAATGCGGCCGAGAAGTAGCCCACAAAGGTATCTCCAGCGGCAGTGGTGTCCACTACATTCTTAACATGCACGCCGCGAACAGAACCGTTCCGGCCAGTGGCCGTCGAGAAGAATACCCCCTTCGCACCGAGCGTGATCAAAACAATGGGAATCTTAGCCACCTGGTGGAAAAGTGGAGCCAACAACTCCGGCTGCAAATCGGCTTCGCTTAGAGATCCCACTGAGAAATCAGGAATTGATTCCGCCATCTGGATAGTCTCCGTTTCATTCATGATCAAGACAGCTGTACCGGACAGTGCAGCCAGTGGAATACCATCCGGGTACACGGGCGCAATATTCAAAACGATATTCGTCGGATTTTCGGTCCTATTATAATGCTGCATCAGACCAATCACAGTCGACCTGGGGATCTCTCCCTGTAAAACCACGACCTGTGGCGATGCAGGACACTGTGTCTGAACGACGGCAAGGATCTTATCAACATCATTCATTCCATCATGATTTGCTCCCGGTACCACGACGATGCGGTTCTCCCCTTGCTCGCCTTCTTCCACGATAATAGTCGCCGAGCCCGTTTGGCAGTCTGTTCTCTGCTCGATTCCCGTCGTGTCCACCCCGGACCTTTCTAATGCTGGTTGTAGCAGCGTTGGGTAATATGGATCGCCTGCACCCACTGCACCGATCATGCTCACAGCCACATCTTGCTGTGTCTTAGAGGTGAAAGCTGCTCGTCCGCATGCAACCGCTTGGTTGGCGCCTTTACCACCGGCGTCGATAGACAGGGAGGATCCCGTCAGCGTTTCGCCAGGCCCGGGACAGCGCCGGGCATATGTGACGAAGTCGACGTTGAGGGATCCGATAACGCAGATGTGTGGTTTTGAGGCCATTTTTGAATATAATAGACCTTCCCTTTCTTTGTGTATTCTTTTTCAACCGAATTTCAAGATATAATTATAGTATAGATCCCGATTGAGATTCGTAATTCTCAGCACCAACTTAGAAAAGACACAAAAAAATCAAACATTCAATCCAAAAACCCCCCCTCCCAAACGCCCAAGAATTTAAACATCGCTAATCCCCTGTGACTAAAAAAATCCACCGTCAAAACCCACCCAAAATTTAATATGTCATGGAATTCCCTCTACGAATGTAACCCAGACCCCAGTCACGCTATACCCAATCAAGTCAACGTAGCCTACACAGTCGTAACACGGCCCGCGGCCTCCCATATTATGGCCCGCCGGCCCGACCGAGCGTAGGCTATGACGTCCCGAATAGGACTAGCGCACGGGTACCGAGAGTGATTTTTTTTCGGCGGCGGGGTACCGCTTTTCGGGTTGGTTTTTCTGCCATTTTTACTCATGTGTGGGGTAGGGGCCAAGGGGCAGATGATGATCTCGTGGAAGGTAGAGTTTTTTTCGAGGGGTTTTGCTTGATGGGCTGTTGGTGGGGAGTTACGTCATATTTTTGTGCTTTTGGGTAAATTTTTCTTGTGCTTTGGTGAGGTTGACGTAACTTTTAGGTTGGATATATATACTTTGGTCGTAAGTGGGATTGTTCCACATGTTCCTGGATAGAATAATTGTGGTTTTACTATATGCACCGGTGAAAGAGAGAATTAGACCTGATCATTATTGTGGAATGGCGAAGACCGTAGTTTCTCTTAACGAGGTTGGATTCTTAGTAAACTATCGTTATTTTACATACAGGGATTTAGATCACAGTGGTTGCCTAGAGAAGGTCTTTAGGTACCTGCAATTACTATGCTGTTGAAAATACAGCTGGGTAGATTGCACTGTGCTTCTAATAGGGCTATCACAGAAGACAAGCCAAGAGATAATCCATGGGCGAAGCAGGATGATGTCTGTCTTCCATAAGGATGTGATTGTGTGAGTATAGATATTTTCCATGGTCATGACCGGGGTAGGCCTGAGATTGATTCAAGGTACTGAGTGACTTTCTAAGCACTGGTGACAATCATCGTGTTGTTTAGCATGATTTGTTCCATGTAAGTATGGAGCGAGACTGGGTATATGTTGTCATTTACAAGTTCAGGCTCACGGTAGGCAATGAATTGAAGTCTGTGATTCCTGTCAGGAACCATGTTTTTTGAGAAACACACAGGTAAAACTATTGGCTAACAACCGAAGTGGCACTCATTGCGATGTATAAGCAGGCCCACAACCTAAGAATAGGAAATGGCGGGCCTTAGATAGGTAGCCAAGGATGACAAGCATGAATATGAAGAGGCCTCCCTTCTACCATCCATAGAAATCCCCCGTGACTAGATTTAGCCTTCATATAAGGCGGAAGAAACATATAGAGTCAGCAGGGTGGTTGCTGACCGGGTAATTCTTGGTGCCTCGTCGAGTTATCTTATTTCCTGCCGCTTCGCCGTTGGGTGTTTTCTTACTGTTTCTGTGTGACGTTTCTGTCTCTTGCTCTCTTTCGTGCCTTAACCTACCGGCCATGCTGGCTTGAGTTTCCGCACTTTTGTAGCTAATGTACACGGTAGTACGATGGCCGTAATACCAAGGAACAGGATTTGTAACATTCCTTCTTCTAGATACATTCGTCCGATCGCACCATGCCGTTAGTTGCCTTTTAACTCTTACTAGCCCTCAGGGCCACTCTCCCTACAAGATGTGGTCTCCACACTGCTTTGATCCTTTTGCATGCTGCTTGACTAGCCCCTGAAGCTATAAGAAGCCATTTCCTGGAGAAGATTTCTTCTGTTTTCTGAGCAGAGCATCTTATATGATCTAGTATTTTGGATCTCGTTTACTGTCTTCTTTTGGCCACCTTATTAACCTCCACTGTCGTTGCTTTGGCTTCGCCGATTAATCCTGTGCTGAAGTCTAGAAGACGACATCCTTGGTGGCCGTTATCTGAACATTACTGGTTATTTGTCGGGATCATACTCTGCTGGACAGCTAGCTTCTGTTGATTGCGTCCAGATACCCCAACGGGGTTCTAAGACTAGGTAGGCCGAGCACATACTTAACCAGTCGGCAAGCTATTCAATTGCTATAGCTTCGACAATTGCAGCTCATGAGGGTTCGTACTGGCGAGGCAACCACGGTTAAAGAAATAGGTGACCACATCCCAGAAGAACGGATCTATTTTGCTTCGTGAAGAGAGATCACATACTCCTCAGGTGCATCTGTCACGCCCAAGCGGTGAGCCGGCGGTGTATCGGACTCTTTATCAAGTTGCAGCTGGTCAAACCTCTGTAACAGTCTTGTTATCACATATCCTGCCTCGGTCAGAGCGAATTGCTGCCCTAGACAAATGCGTGGGCCGCCATTAAAAGGCAAATACTCCCAGCTATGCTTGCGACTTGCCCAGCGGTCTGGATTGAATTCATCTGCATCCGGTCCCCAGAACTCTTCCAGTCGATGCATAACACAGACATAGTACCAGACCTCTTCACCTTTTTTGACAAAGATGGGTGACTTTCCATCAGCTCCGCCGCCAATCGGCAGAGTTGTATCCTTGGTCGCTCTTCTGCCATTCATAGGAACTGGGGGGTAAAGACGCAAGACCTCATTCAGTACATGTTGAAGATAGGTGCATGACTTCAGAGACGCAAATGATATTTTGTCTGTGTGCTCGTAGGGCCCAAAGTCGTCGAGGATTCTTGTCCGCAACTTGTTAAACACACGCGGGTGACGAGCGAACAGCCAAAACGTCCAACTCAAAAGACTTGCCGTTGTGTCACGACCAGCGAGAAGCACATTCATGAGTTGGCTTCTCAGCTCGATAGGGTCCTTGGTGACTTTGACTAGTTCGTCGAGAAATGTATATTTTGGCTTGAGGGCAGATGTGGAGGCGTCTCCTGGCTTCGAATTTTGTGATCGTTCTAGTGCTTCTTGGACACAAAAGTCGGCAAAGCGATGTACCTCTTTGATACTGTCACGGAACTTTCGTGGGTTATGTAGCCAGTAAAACTCAAGGAGCTGAATGCGCTCACCCAGAACCTTTGTGCCAGTGTCGAAGCTCCTAGCGAGATCCTTCCACTCGTATTTGCTATTTGCCATCTGTTGACGTTGTGAATGCACGCTCGTGCCAAAGAGAAACTCGGTGGCTGAATCCAGAGTAAGCCGGAAAAACAAGGCGCTGAGGTTTATCTGTCCTGTCCAGCCGTGAGGATCCGTTCTGAGTTGCTGTAAAAGATCCTGAACATGGGTTTCTTCAAGTTGTAGGTCTGCAACTTGGTCTCGTGCGAACTGGGGTCGGATCATGGCCCTCGACGTTTCCCTGTTTTGGTCCCTTTAAAATGTGTTTCTCGAAACTGTTTAGGGCCTAATGACACACACCAATATTGCCCATCAGCAGTAAATATTCCATTGCCCAACATGGGAAAGAATGTACGGCGGCGTAAATCCCCAAGTTCGAAATCTCTAAACTGCGTAGCAAGTAGAGCCTGGATGTTTCTCGGCTCAATGGTCTGGACGAAGGTCGACCCCAGCATGCTGCCCTTGAATGTTCGACATCTTTCTTCTTGAAACATCTTACCCATCTCCTCAGGAAAATTCCCAGCATCATTCGCCGCTCTTATCCTCTGTAGCTGATCCCATCCCAGAGGAAGTTGGTTTTTCTGCCAAGGAGCTGGTTGACAGCCAAGCACCTTGGCTTTGCGTCGGTCGACTAGCACCGCAATCCCGTAATAAAGGACATAACTGGTGAAGAATCCGGTAAGAATGATAACGAAGCTAAACATCGTGCAATATACTAGGCAACATTCCACGGGTTGCCAAAGTGAAATGCAGGTGAACTCATTGAAAACGGCAGATCAATTCTCTTCAAATATGCTAGAATCCATTCCACCGTAGCAGAATCCGCGGGGCCCTTTGGCCCTTTGGCCCTTGCAAACGCCCACAAACTCACATTCCCGGCTCGATTGGCCACATCAAGTCATGGCCACCCACCCCTTTAGAATAATTTCAAGATCGATTATCTCAACCAACACCAATCAAGTCAACGAAATCTAGCGGGTTTTACTATATTGATCCCGGTAGCCAATCGCCCTACACCCACGTTAACTAGGCGAAATCCTAGCGGCCGGCTGATTTGCCTGAATGGGCATATATCGCCCTGCGCATGCGATTCTACTACGGCTGACTCAACTGGCGACTTTTAGCTGCGCAATTAGCTGGTAGGCCCTCTTCGAGGACCAAACCATCTTCGCAGGGTATGTGCCCAGTTGACCGAATGCGCATCTTGACGATCTTCTCATTTGCTGCGCATAAAATCGCATTCTCCTGCCCTAGGGGCGCAGTGTTGTGTAGCCATAGCGGCCCTGAATACTCTGATCTAATACAGTTTCCAGTGGGCTTGGAGGGCTATTTGACCGTGACTTTAGTAGATACTTTTTACATAGAAACTTGCTTGGCGCGAGCACCAAAGGCTAGGGGGCTGTAACTGTTTCAAACCATCGTCATGCTCTGGTCAGTCCCTCGCTGTGTATGGTATAAAATCTGGGGGGCTCCATATATGTCATATTTCAATTGTGCTATATATTGAAAGCTCGCTAAGAGACTAATGCTCTGCATCCGTCGATCTCCCATCCCTTAGACATGGCCTTTGAATCGCTTGTTGCTTACGCCATTTCAAGAACAAAGAGCTCTGGAGGGGGGTACTGCGGTGGGTAGCTGGGAATGGCGATAAGGGGTCGAATAGTTAACTAGTGACCTTAGTTAGAGCAGTGAATGCTTTGAGATTCAAGATACTCACATTGTCCTCTTGCTCAGGATCGAACCACCAGCCTCTCGGTTCGTCATCCCTTTCAAAACTATCGCTGGTGAGCATGAAAACGACTGATGAGGGCTTCACAGCTACTTACACCCAAGCGCCCTGGGCTTCAGCCTTTGTCACTTTCCAAACCACCTGGGGTACATTTGGTTGAGCAATTAAATGGTCACCCACGACACCAACTGGAATTCCTCTAAAGTAAATAACGAAATTTGGGCCTTCAGGGTTAATTGCAAACTAGAATGATGTAAGTATGTAATAATGCCAGCATGATATGCTGTCTCACAGGCTCGCCCTTCTCGGGCTGTGCTACAATCCTGCCATTCCCCGGAAACAACGCGGTGAGGTAATCATCACTCTGTTGAGATTTGATATGATATAATCCAGGTTCAAGGGGTTCGGAAGACATGGTGACAGAATAATAACGAAGTAAATACGTTCAAGAGTAAAAGACTAATAGCGTGATGGTCAAAGAGATCCCCAACTGTTGGAGATGGTTGAGCACCATTTATAATTTCCCGACACTTCGATGTCCTCCGAGCTCAGCGAGCAGACAACCATAGAGTTTCCAGGAAACTCTAAGACCTGCCAGCTGTCTTTGTGCCATTACCCCTCTTTCCTAGAGATCTACATCTGTTGGACTATTTTCTATTGGCCCGATGAATGCAGAGATTGCAGCTGCTTAGTACTAGAGGTAGTGCATGGTGGGTGCGTGGGTCATCAGTCAAATGGTCTGATTGGGCCAGAAGCCAGATCCCGCATGAGTGGAGCTGAAGTTTGAACACCATGTACGTGTAGGACGCACTTCAAATGGCGGGATGGATTACAGATTACTATGATATATTAAAAATGAGCTGGTCGCAACTCCTCCTGCAGGTCTGTAGAGCAAAAATCCAGCACGGCCCGCTTGAAGCGCTCGCTGCCGATCAACTTGGCTCTGGTAAACGATACATCTACCTTCGCAGATCCAAGATCCTGTAGATTTCAAGATAATGTAGAACCCGTTACTACAGATCTAGTATAAAATTCCCGGCCACAGAATTAGAGATTTTTCAACCCGTTCCGTGTTAGGTTCCAGGCTATTCTTCCAACAATATAGGAATATCACCATCGACACGTATAGTTTCGACAACAGGATCCTGCTGTCTGCATGGTCTGGACCGTCTGGTGCCTTCTCTAGATGCAGTGCATTCTGCAGCATCTTTACTCTAGCCAATGAAGCCCAGCCTTGCAAGAGGTCCTACGGGCCTAATATTGCGTGATTTGGTGTACATCCAGCGGATCAACAACAGAGCAGCCGGAATGATGGTGATTGCAAGATTTGGAATGAGAGAATCGTAACAACGGCCTATAGCATAACTCTTGTGGGGCAAGCGAACATTGGAGTTCTCGATTCCTTCACTACCTTGAGAGGCAGACAGACAGACCCCACTTGATCTTTCAGCTCACCTCATGCTTGGCACGAATTTGCCCCACCACCGGCGAACCCTTGTGGCATCTGAGACTCGAAATTCGTTGACAAATATCAGTGGCGGTTCCGCCACTAATATCCATAAACCACAGTACTCGAATTGATCGTCATCGGGGGCAGTGCTTCCTTTCCATAGAAACTATTGAAAGAATGATATTTGGTATTACCTAGCAAACTAGGCCTAAAACTAAAAGGGTCTTTTTGACGGTAAATTCAGGTCTGATTTTTCTATTTAGTGGCCTACATGGCTTAAATACTGATCTTAGGTCAGCTGACTTATAGGCGGCTAGGCCGAAACTGTAGATAGCGGTGTTTTATGGTTGACAGAAACACTCGAGTATCTCAGTCATAATGGAAGCTATTGTGCAACCCAACTCCCAATATCTACCAGCTGTCCTGTCCCGTTGTGTTTATATATTTTCCCGCTACATACTAGTAGTAGTGAAAGCGTGAGCAAGAAATTGCCGGACACAACATCCTTGGCATTCCAGATAGAGGCTCTAGGTTGATTTGAGGTACCTGTATATGTTTAAATCCATTCACGTGTGTTGTGGGAAGGGATTGGGTCCCAGAAGCATCTATCATAGATCGATGCATGCCATGCATCTATGATCACGTGATAACATGACCAGTCCTTTGTCTCTCTATCTTAAGCCCTCTTTCCTGGTGTCCTTATTTTTGAGTTATTCATTTGATTTTAATCATTTCCACATCTTATAAGTCCGTTAAGTTGTGGCGAGTATTCCATCTCTTGAAATAGGTATTCGCATTTGTTTCTATAATCCAGGCCAGTGACCCCAGTCAGAATCACGGTGGTTATTCAGCCAAGGGGTAAGTACCTCTCACAAACAGCTGGGTTGCTAGTAAATTGCGATATAGGAGGTTCAGTCAAATCCCTTCCACATCAGGTCCGAATTGGTAGCCATGCCTCAACAGAGCAACTTTACGATGCTCTTGCTCAAGCGTCGGGATTATCCATCTATCGTCTGAGAATCACCAAAGAGAGCGATTGCACCTTGGTTTCTAACTCTAAGGAGACTACCATTGAGGAAGCCGGAATTAAAGACATGGATGTAGTTACTGTTAAGGACCTTGGTATACTCACACCACGGTGACCGCTTCGGAAACTAGACTGATGGTGCTATTTTCACCTGTTCAGGTCCACAGATCTCGTGGCGCGCCGTGTACATCGCTGAATACCTCGGCCCAGTCTTCATCCCGGGGCTCTTCCTCTTCCCTCTACGCCCATATCTGTACTCCAACTACGACGCCGTCACCGAACCGAGCAGCATTCAGCTCCTTCTCTGTGAGCTGTTGACAATCCACTTCGTGAAACGTGAGTATGAGTCCATCTTCGTCCACCGATTCAGCAATGCCACGATGCCTGCGCGCAAAATTGTCCAAAACAGTGGCTACTACTGTGTGATGAGCTGCAATATGGCGTACTGGATCTTCCGGCCTGATGCGGCGGCAGCAGCTACAGAGCTGATCAATCCCTGGCTACTCTATACGGGTCTTGGCCTCTTTGCTTTTGGAGAACTGGCAAACTTGAACACCCACTTGGTGCTACGGGATATCCGCCGTCCAGGGACCACTGAGCGCGGCGTACCGCTTGGATCTGGATTTGGGGTTGTGACTTGCCCTAACTACTTCTTTGAGATTATTGCCTGGATGGGCATATATTTTGTTAGTGGATTGAGCTGGAGCATTCTTATTTTCATCATTATCGGAAGCGTGCAAATGGCGATCTGGGCTAAGAAGAAGGAGCGTCGCTACCGGCAGGAATTTGGGGATAAGTACAAGTTTAAGAGATTTGTCATGCTTCCAGGTATTATTTGAACCAGCCGAGATGTATTCGCATCCGCTTGGATGGCAAATTGGCGGACTGTATCAAGCCTATTCTACAAATCAAGTTGCATTAGGAAAGGAGTACATGTCATATATAGAGAATGGTTTTTATTTGAATCTCCTTGGATAATCAGCAGATCCTAGTGACTTACATACCCCTAGAGAAACTGTGTCCAAGACATTTTAGCTTAGACCTATGAAAACACCATTTTCGTTCTCGAGCGTCATGCTGATCCTCTCCGTCCAATCATGTGTATTATAATTCGAGACCGTTGAGAATGTCTGAAATATACGAGCCACAAGATAGGTGAGCACAATCATAGCATAATGTTCTACACCCGAGTCAGTAAACAAGTAAGAATTACAATACTTGCGGAGGAAGTCTTACGACCAGGGCAGGCTCGAGGTCCCTTGTTGAACGGAATAAACCCAATCATGTCTCCATTCAGATGTTCCCACCGTTCTGGATAGAATTCCTCTGGGTTCTCGCCAAAGTCCTCCCCCAGACGATGCCTAGCCCAGGTAGAAAAGACCACGATTTCGCCTTTGCGAATTAGAACTCGGGAGTTGCCGTCAGTCCCACCACCGGTTGGCAGGGTAGAGTCCTTGTTGGCTACCCTGGCATTGAAGACAACTGCCGGAAAGAGCCTCATTACTCCACGAGCTATCGTGTTAGTGTATGATCAGAACAAATATCACTGCAATAATCTCACCTTCCTGGAGGACCCAACGGACATAGTGCAGAGATCCGAGCTGGCCCCATGTTGGAGGTGCCAACCCAACGGCGTCAAGGATGCTTGCTCTTAGCTTGTGGACAACTCTCTTATCATGGGAAAGACAGAAGAAAAGACCCGAGAGGGTGGTGCTCATGCTGTCATTTGCGAGAAGAATACTCAGCGCCTGATCTGCCCGCAGAGAGACTTGCTCGTCTTCCGTGCTGCAATCGCGCCCGGGAGAAACCCCTTCTGCCTTTTCGCTCATGCTACTGCGTTCTTTGAGCTGCCGAGTTACATGAGCTATCACATATCTTCGTGCTCTCTTACAGCATTGCAAAAACCGTTGCTTAGGATATAGATACCGGAGCGGGCCACGAAAGCCATCCTGCACAATCGTCTCCTTGACAAAAAGCAGGTCTGTTAAGAATTGCTTCTTTTCTCTAGACTGAGAAAAACTAAGGGCATCAACCGACTCCCCTAGCGAGAACAAGGTCTGCATATCCAAAGCGAGGGCAAAAGCACAAGCTTGAGCGTCAAACGCCTGCCCATTGGGTGGGACATGCTGAAGAAAAGCCTGAAAATGGCGCTCGCATTGGTCCAAGTCAACAATTTTGCGGAGGTTAGACAGGCGAGTGCGCAACTGATCTCGGCTTTTCTTCCATCCTGCACCATCCTGGGTAAAAATGCCATGCGGGGTGATAGGCTCAAATAAGGGCTTTCGTAGTGGGGAGCTGTCAAAGTCGGCAAATGCTGTGGATAACAAATGTTTGATATTCTCCGCGCTGCAGGTAAAGATGAGCCGATAGCTGAGAACATTGGAGGCATAGGTCTCCCCGTATTTCTTGAACAATGCATTGGTGTAGGGAAGGGAGCTCCGGCGCCTGAAATGAAATGCTAATTCGATGGCCTTGGCGATGCCGAGAAAATCATATCGAAAACTACCATTCTCATTGCGCAGACTTTCGCAGCTGTAGAGCCGTTCTAGCTTTCGCAGCTTCAGAGTCCAGTGCAGTCTTCGCACTAAAAGAATAAGAATAACCCCGACAACAGTTACCGTGAGGGGCTTAGAGAGAACAGCTGGTCCTGGGGCCTCAACTGGTTGCATTATTTTGGCTGAAGTGTGGTCTTGAGTATTCTATCGCTGTTAAGACACCTTGCCCTAGTGAATTACGCACATCGGGGTTTACTTGATCAAGGCAATCCCTGTTGTGATCCCTACGGAACCCTGTGGGTCTGCTAGGAGGATCTATCCTTCGGGAAAAAGAGATGTATCGAGTGGACGTATGCAAGGGGTGTATTGCGGTCTGCAAATGCAGCCACCTCTTAATATTTTTCTCCTTAGACAAGAACAAAAGCGGAGTTTGGCCAAGTTGGTAGCACAAAACGTGAAAGGATTTATGCAGTAATAGGTTTGTTCTACCAGAAGAGAGAATGGCAGAAGCAAGCAGAGTTGAATGGCGAGTTCACTGCACGTGTCTAAATCAAATTAAATATCTAGCATAAATTGACAAGGCTTTGCATTGCGGGTTTTCCAAATCTCCATCTGTAAACTGAATGACAGGCTCCCAACAATCAATCAATCAGCTCTTAGCTCCGTCGCCACAAACATGACGACTGAATATCGACAATTTAAAGATGATTCCTCCGAAAGACAGCGGTTGATTCCCGAGGTAAAGCAGACTCTACAGTGTGCTACGGACTATGCTTATAATATGGTACACTCTGATGGACATTGGTGTGGGGAGATGAGGTCAAATGCCACCATAACGGCCGAATATATCTTTCTCCGACAGGCTCTGGGACTGGACTTGAAAGCTGATGGTGCTGCCTATTGTTGCCACATACTATCACAGCAAAACAGCGACGGCTCATGGGGTCTAGCACCCGAGCATCCAGGTGATGTATCGACAACGACCGAAGCGTATCTCGCACTGAAAATGTTAGGGGTGAGTGTAGACGCTCCAGCCATGCAACAAGCAAAAGCATTCGTACTCAATGCGGGAGGTGTTGCCAGGGTTCGTGTGTTCACTCGCATTTTCCTGGCAACCTTCGGCTTGTTTCCATGGAAGGCAGTACCTCAGCTGCCCGTGGAGCTGATTCTGCTCCCTTCCATATGTCCAATCAACATCTACAGGTTCGCATCTTGGGCCCGCGGCACCATTGCCCCTCTCTTGATAATTTGCCATCATCGGCCGGTATATGCCCTCCCGAATGGAATACGGCCGGAGAACGACTATCTAGACGAGTTATGGCAAAATCCCTCGAGCAAAAACGTGCCCTACGGTCCATCTCTCTGGGAGCTGCTGTCCCAGGGCGACATCACGGGGTTGACATTCAGCATCCTGGACAAACTGCTTTATCAGCTAAACGGACTTCGCTCAATTCCTCTACTAAGGCCATACGCACGGCAACAATGCATGAAATGGATTCTGGAGCGCCAAGAGCCCACCGGCGACTGGGCCGGAATCTTCCCGCCTATGCATGCCAGTGTGTATGCGTTCGTGCTGGAAGGGTACAAACTAGATGATCCCCCTGTCAGCCTTGGCATCCAAGCGATAGAAAACTTTGCTTGGGAGGATGCAAAAGGTAAAAGGGTTCAACCTTGCGTTTCACCCGTATGGGACACGACTCTGATGTCAATTGCGCTCTGCGATGCCGCGTCCCCAAATCAGTGGATCATCGATCGCGCTATTAAATGGATCCGTGACCGCCAGTTACTCGAACTCCGCGGTGATTGGCGTGTATATCGGCCTCGACTCGCGCCTGGGGGGTTCAGCTTCGAGTACACGAACAGCCACTATCCCGATATAGACGACTCAGCCGCGATCATCCTTGCGCAGGTGAAGCATGACGCGAGATCGGTTAATTCCAGCTCCGTGATCGCAGCAGTAACATGGATTCTGGGCATGCAGAATCCTGACGGGGGGTGGGCTGCGTTTGACGTGGAGAATGATAAGTTGTTCCTTAACAAGATCCCGTTCAGTGACATGGATAGTTTATGTGACACGTCCTGCGCTGACATCACCGGGCGGATCCTGGAAGCTTTCGGACTCATGATTGTCCGGGCCCCTGAAAAGGATAACGCGAGCGAATTTGCCCAACTTCTCCCTGCAATACGTGCAGCCTGCAGGCGCGGTATCCAATACCTTGCGTCTACACGTGAGCCCAATGGAGCCTGGTTCGGGCGATGGGGGTGCAACTACATCTATGGAACTAGTCATGCACTGTGTGGTCTGGCGTACTTTTCCAAAGACGATAAACAAATTTTCGACATGGCACAGCCGGCTTTGCATTGGCTGAAGTCGCAGCAAAATGGGGACGGCGGGTGGGGTGAATCCTTGCTGTCATACCAAAGTCCCGAGAGAAAGGAGCAAAGATCGACCGCGTCGCAAACAGCATGGGCCCTCATGGGATTGCTGGCCCATCTTCCCCACACCGACATCGCTATTGAACGGGGCATACGGTGGCTGGTCTGCTCTCCAAGGCCGCATGAAAACCTTGGATTTACCTGGCCCGAACCAGTGTACACAGGGACTGGATTTCCGAATCATTTTTATTTGGGCTACGACTACTATCGGCATTACTTTCCAATGATGGCACTTGGGAGGTATGTACGGGGGGTTCAGGGCTAGATAGAGCTGAACATAGTCATGTGACGCGTACAGACATTGACTGACATGATGGCAAACATGCATATATGAGGCATCGTCTCTGTACTTAAAGCAATTAGTGGAATGCATTTCCCACTCTCTGGCATACCGCTCTTTCATACCTTACTGCATGTGGAATGACGACTACCCCCATGAAGCAAGGGGCTCCCCCTAGTATTTGCCCACCACATGGATATCACTCTTTGCATTTCTGTTCAGAGACACCCCAAAAATCCTTGAGGATTTATGAGCACTGGGAGAGAGCTTCGGCAGGTGCTATTTGAAGAATAGGTACCCCTCCCTAGACAGCATTGGTATCGTATCCCGTACGGAGGCTGCAAGCAATGGATTTCCTCTCTATCTTTGGCCGTACACGGCCAGCAACTATACCCACCGACCGAGTTGTCCCTCTACGATACTGGGATGATTTGCACTATCTACGTAGCCTTTCCCATGACTTTACCTTCCGCTTTGACGACGTTCTTGATACGTCAAAACTCGAGGCAGCACTCGACCGGCTAATGGAAATCGGCGACTGGGGTCAACTGGGGGCTCGGCTGCGACTGAATGTATGGTCTTTCGCAAACCACAACCTGCCCACAATACTGACGTGACAATCCCATATTTAGGATAGTGGAAAGCTCGAGTATCACATACCCGCCGAGTATGATAAGAGCACCCGTCCCGCATTTGGCTTTACCACCTCCGAGTATGCCATAAGTATCAATGAACACCCGTTGGGTGCCCGGCTGCCGAAAACCGGCCAGGACCAGTCTGTGTTGTCGCCATCCTGCGCGGAATTTGCTCCATTGGTCCGCCATTCGGATAGCCCCCGAGAGTTGGCCGACTGGATCTATTCCGACCGTCCGCAGCTGCATGTCCATGTTACTGTCTTCCAAGATGCAACTCTTCTGACAGTCAGCTACCTTCACACCTTGTTTGACGCAGTCGCTCGAACCAACTTCTTCAAGGCATGGATAGCTGTTCTCAAAGGCCGGGAGGAAGAGGTGCCACCTTTTATTCCTTTTGACCAGGACCCCTTGGGCGATTTGGGCAAGGATTTCCCTCGGGAAAGCTATACCCACTTCGGGCGGCTCGTTGCCGGATTGAGCCTCGTGCTCTTCGGACTCAGGTATCTATTCGAGCTGTTCTGGTTTCGCAAGGAGGAAGAACATCCTATCCGGGTTCCGGGACATTGCGTGGAACGGATGAGGGAAACTGCACAACAGGAACTGGCTGCTGCTACTGAGAAGGGAGCGGAAGTCCCCTTCCTGAGCGAGCCTGATGTTGTCTCTGCATGGTGGGTGAAGACCATGGTCACAGCCCTAAACCCTGCGCCCGGCCGAACAGTCATGGTGATGAGTCCCTTCAATGTGTGGGGTTTGTTTAAGGAGTCGTTCCCTGCCGGCGCTAAGGGTTTCATCGGCAATGCATTCTTCAATTCCTACACGGTACACAAGACGAGCGAGGTCCTCGAGCATAACAACTTGGCACACTTGGCGTGCAAGAACCGCCAGGCTCTCGTGGAACACAGAACGAAGGAACAAGTCCAAGCGATGACCGCCATTCAACGAGAATCAATTATGCAAATTCCACCTCTCGTCGGGGACTCGAATCTGCTTTTCATGACACACACTAATCAGCACAAAGCCAGATACTTTGAGACTGACTTCTCGGCGGCTGTTATTGCCCCCGGTATGCCTCTTAGCGAAAGACCTCATGCATTGGGCAGACCGTCTTATATCAACGATATTGAACATTGTCGTCTGTACCCGACTCGTAACGTCTGTAGGGTGATTGGCAAGGATGCTGCAGGCGACTGGTGGCTTTTGTTTAAGACTCGATCTGAGGCATGGCCTTCGATCCACAAGCAGTTGACGACTTTGCTTGGCATCGACGAGGCCCAGGCAAAGGACGTTTCCAATGGAGCGGACAAGCCAGCCGTTGCGTACAACGAAACCTCTTCGTCCAAGACATACTCTGACGCCATGGGAATACTTCTGCAATTTCGTCTTCTTTGGAAGCTTCTCGTTTAAGTTGCATGCCCCTTTTTACCCTAAATCTATTGTCCCTTCTAAATTGAACTATGTGGGCGACAAATCCATCTCGAAAGCTTCAGGGACAACGTGGTGGTATTCTCATAATGGACTTTGTATGCGCTGTTGTCACTGTGGTAGATTTAAGTAAATGCTGTTGAATCTCAGGATTTCGGGTTAGGTAATGAACATATGGCATTATGATCCATCATCTGGCATTCTGCAGAAACACACAAGCAAACTGAGTAGCGTAACTCCGTAGTTATCCGAAAAGATGTGATGTATCGACCATCGGCCTGCGGGCCATCCCAAATACCTGGCATTTGGCCAGCGACTGGGGAATGTTATGATCCACGTGACCACGGTATGCCCATCTCTGCAAATCAACCATTCCAGACAATAAGGCAAGTTTGACAACACGCTGTGATGCGCTTCAAAAAGACACGGGATGTCCGACGAGGAAATCCTGCTGGGTGAGATCCGGCCGATCTCAGATACTCCTTGTGCAGCCGAAATCATTGAACGTCAGATTCGCATAGAGCCCAGCACTGCGAACCTTTTCTCAATCTACCGACATGCAAACGCGCCATGGCTCTGCGCATTGCTGATATCAGTAATCTGTGCAGTAGTTGCCGGGGCTGCAATGCCTTTGGTAACGATTGTTTTCGGGGCTTTGGCAAGCGAATTTATGAATGGGGATGAGAAAGCACCGCATGATGTTCGAGACCGGGTTCAGCATCTAACCCTCTTACTGGTGTATATCGGTATGGACTTTGTGACCAATTTCAAAGTCATGTCATCTGACGCATTCCAGCCATTGGGTCATTTGTCGCCACCATGATCAGCACATGGGGTCTCAATGTAGTCGGGGAACAGATTACACGTCGCCTTCAACGGAGATATCTATCCTCAGTCCTGCAGCAGAACATGGCGTACTTCGATGTAGTCGGCACAGGAGAGCTCACGTCCAGGATAGACCAGGACATGAAACTGATTCAAACAGGTATCTCACAGAAGATGGGCAACATTATATCGGGAGTATCTGGTTTCATTGTTGCCATCACCTGCGCATTTATCCAGAACCAACACTTCGCATCGATAATGATCTCGCAGCCGATTGCCATGATCCTCCTGGTGGGATTAATGGGATTCTGGCTAAGCGTTACGCAGCAAAGGGGCTTGCCCTATTCCGTTAAACTTGATAATTTGGCCCAAGAAGTCCTCAGCGCTATGAGGAGCGTTATTGCCTACCGAAGCCATGAAAGATACGCGAGAAAGTATCACAATACGTTGCTGGAGCCGGCCGCCCTCGACTTTCGGGAGCGGTTGATCTTCGGAGTGATTGTGGCAGGCTCCTTTACGATTTTACATTGGGCTAATGGGCTGGGTGTATGTATGGATCCAGTCGTTCCAGGGCCTGCTAACGATGATGGGTAGTTCTGGCAGGCTGATCGCCTCTTCCGCCAAGGACGTTGTACGGTTCCGGAGGCGTTGTCCATCCTTTACGCAACGGTTGTCGCAGGGGGGATGCTGTGTCAAGCATTGCCGTATGTCGTCGATGTTACCAGGGCCAGCAAAGCAGCCAACCGGGTATTTCCAGTTATTGAGCGTGTTTCGCCGATTAATCCCATGGTGAATACGGGACGCATTTACGGTCCCGTTCGGGGAGAGATTTGCTTCGACAATTTATCGTTTGCTTATCCCTCACGACCGGAACGAACTGTCCTGAGAGAGCTTAGTTTTACTGTGCCTGCTGGGCATACCGTAGCCTTGATTGGGCCATCAGGATCAGGTAAGTCGACAGTTTTCGCCCTTTTGGCACGCTTATACGATCCCATCGGTGGTGGCGTCATGTTAGATAATGAACCGATCGAGGAGATGAATATCTCTTGGCTCAGGTCTCAGATTGGATATGTTAGTCAGGATGTTACTTTGTTCCGTGCATCGATTCATGAGAATATTGCTCATGGCCTACCCAAGAGTACCATCAAGGTATGTCTGCCATTGTTCATTGATTCTTGCCAAGTTAGTTCGCTCATACTAGAGCAGACACTGGACGCATCTGTCATTCAGGGACTAGTAATTCAAGCTGCCCAGACCGCGCAGATCCACACATTCATTACCAATCTTCCCGACGGTTACGATACCGTGATTGGGGCTAATGGGTCAAGTCTCTCTGGTGGACAGAGGCAACGCCTCGCAATTGCTCGAGCCATTGTATCCCAACCATCCATCCTACTGCTGGATGAAGCTACTGCTGCCTTGGACAGTCAAAGTGAAAAGGAAATTCAGGAGGCTTTGAGGAAGGCCGCCTACGGACGAACAACCATGATAATAGCTCATCGGCTATCAACAGTTCAAGATGCCGATGCTATAATTATCATGAAAGACGGCCAGATTCTAAATCAAGGCACCCATTCAGAGTTAATGATCACGTCTGGGACGTACCGAGAACTGATCAAAAAGCAGGCACTCCGACAGAGCGAGCGAATTCGAGAATCCTCATCCCCTGCAAAGAGTGTCGAAACCCAGACGAGAGATATTTCAGTCAATGTTGGCGCTTTGAAAAGACCTGGGGATGCTTCATGGTCAAACTCAACACCAGCAAGTAGCATTAGTCAGGTTTGGCACTTGAACAAGCCTGAGCTGCCATTCGTTATTGCTGGCATCATTTTCAGCGCATTGGCTGGCATGACATATCCCGTTCAAGCGATCTTCTTTGGCAATGGGATCATATCAATCATTAGCCCTGGTGCAAGCACCGGAGGGCACAATGTTTACTTTTGGGCCCGATTGTACCTTGTCCATGGTATTGTTGTGTTTTTTGTTTACTGTGTACGAGGTTACTGCTTTGCTGTATCTGCGTCTCAGTTGCACCTCCGAGCACGGTCGCATTTGTTCAGGGCACTCCTACAGAAGACCCTCGTCTTTTTCGAAAATAAAGATCATTCAAGTGCAGCCCTGATGAGCCTCCTCTCCTCAGGCACTCCGAAAATCACGGGTGTCTCAGGAACATCACTCGGATTGGTAGCCGAAAGCATCATTATGCTTGCTACCGGGATCCTAATTGGATGTATCTTCGGATGGAAGCTTGGCGTAGCGGCAATGGCTACCGTCCCGTTGATAGCCATATCCAGTTTCCTGCAATACTATATTGAGGCACAAGTACAGAAGCACGTGAAGCGCGACACTAATGCTGTGGCCATTGCGCATGAAGCATTTTCTGCTATCAAAACGGTGACAATACTAGACCTACACAGCACGATTCGCGAAACCTTTGAAAGAGAAAGCCAACAAGAGAGGAGTAGTTGGTACTGGGCTATATCTGCCACCCTACATGCCTGTACTACATCGTTCCGTATACTGAGCATTGCCTTTGTCTTCTGGTATGGCGGCACCCGCCTCATCGCGACGGGCGAGTATACTATCCAACAGTTTTTCATCTGTTTCGCGGCAACGGTTTGGGGATCCCAGTCTGCCGCTACTCTCTTTGCTCACGCACCAGACATCGCGGGGGCCCATGCTGCTGCTGCTCGATTGACAGAATTGATGCAGCCCGACGATTCCCCGGGGCAGTTCCCGGAAACGAACCAAAAGCAAGGCTGTATCTCTGCTCTTATGTCCAATGCCACGGAGGATCTCGTGTTACAGCACATTAACTTCAGATACCCCACTCGTCCTTTTCAACTAGCGCTAAACGATGTCACCTTCAGTGCCCGGTCTGGGAGCTTCGTTGCTATCGTCGGAGCAACTGGCAGTGGGAAAAGCTCGGTTATTAATCTGATACAGCGGTTCTATGCTGCCGAGTCCGGTCAAATAACACTAGGGCATAGTCCCATTGAACAATATGATCTAAACGATTACAGAGGGTACCTGGCGCTGGTGGACCAGAACCCATGCTTGGTGGGTGAAGATCTGCGGGAGTGTTTGCAGAGTGACGAGAGAGTCGTTCCAGACGAGGAGATCATGGTTGCTCTGGAAGATGTGGGACTAGCTGATTTCGTGGTACGTTTTTCTATCCGTTTACCACATACGCGTTTCTCATTACATCTACTAATCTAATCATGACTAGATATCCCTTCCCCAAGGACTCGGCACCCTGGTCATGGCCAACGGATCCACTCTGTCCGGGGGACAACGTCAGCGCATGGCCATTGCCAAGGCACTTTTGTGGAGGCCGAAGATCTTGTAAGGTTTGATCCTATTTATGTATTTGATTTTCTGACTCTCTATAGTTTACTTGACGAGGCAACCTCTGCGCTGGATGGTGCCTCGGAAACACTAGTCCAGAAGGCACTCCAGCAGTCAATGAAAGGCCGAACCGTCATCGCCATTGCACATCGACTCAAGACGATCGTGGATGCCGATGAGATTTTAGTGTTAGATCACGGACGGATTGTTGAGAGGGGCCGCCATGAAGAACTGATGAAGCTCGGAGGGAAATATTGGCAGATGGCTAAGTTGCAGGAGTTTAATGGGGAAGTTCGAAAGTAACTCTCTCGATACTTCTCAGTGACCTATTTTCCTTGTGTATTATTGAGGAAGCTGAGATGTATAATTTTTGTATAAGTGGCACAGAAACCAGCAATAGGGCACTCTTTTAATTATATATCTGAGAATTGACACACCTGAAGTATCGCAGACCGAAGCATGTGATTAGAGAGTTTTTCATCGATCTGTGGGCATGAAGATGTGGAGAACGGTCTGGATCTAATCAAGAAGCACCGTCAAATACAAACGTTTCAGGTGAACGTTTCCATATGCGATTGAATCTCGGAAGGACGGTCCGGGAGGTAGAGAAACCCCCGGCCCGGCACGGACCGTCCACGGATCAACCCCAGCTTTTCCGTGAAGGTGCAGATGGTCCATTATATAAAAAAGGAAAACATTTCCTGTATTACGAGGTCCTCTTGTTTTGAATCAACCGAAAAAGACGATCGTCGAGCAGCTTCCTACGTGGTGACCTACCGGTTCCAACTCTTCTTGTTCCAGTATCCCGTCGTCCTCATTTTCATCCCCAGAAGAAAAGCGGAAGGACAGGTTACCATGACCAAGATATCAGCTTTTCTACGCTCATGCGCTCCAAATACCGGAGGATCTTCCTCGAAGATGTCAGTATCCATCCACATCGCCGGCGCCGGGGACAACCCCCGAAAGGTGTTCACTACGTCAGATAGGATCGAAGGAGTGGTGACTATCACAGTGGCGGAGAAAACCGCCTTCGATGATATCAAGATCACGTTAGAAGGGATATCGAGGGTAACGACCTGGGGAGGCATCAGTGGACCGCCACTTATCAGTGCTCGTCAGACCTTTATGAAACTCCATTATCCAATTGAGAAGAGTGCATACCAACCAGCTTCGATTCTGGAGCCGGGGTGGTGCTACAAGTTCCCGTTTACGTTCATTGTGCCGGAGAACCTGCCACTCACGGCATGCGATCACAAAGTCGACGATACAGTCATCGAAAATACTCATACGAAACTACCCCCCTCATTGTGCAAGGAAACAGATACAGAATGTTTCTCCATCAAATACATCGTCCGAGTGGTTATCCCGAGGCCATTTTGCAGTAAAGGCCAGCCGACAAAAAGCTTGGTCAACGCTGTTCGACCCGTGAAAATACTACCGTCGGGTGCTATAGGTGGGCCCAACGGTCTTGCCATCAATACACTTACATCAGAAAAAACAATCAATATTAGACGTGGTTGGAGGGGGAAATGCACTGGACGCTTGGTCATCTTAGCTTCACCTGCCGGGCCCATACGGCCTTCCTTCCATAAAATTGTTGCCGCCGACCAGACCATCACCACGATAAAACTAGACCTTAAATACAGTCCGGTCGGCGCAGAACCTCCTCCTCATCTGCGAATGGTGTATCCCAAATTGAACTTGGTAACATCCTTCCACACAACCCCGCGAAACGGATATCCGTTTTTTGGACAGAGCAAAAGCACCGATTTACCACGAGGCAATCACGTTCAATCTTTGACGCTTCCAACAGCCGATATTGAATCAACTCAATGGATCAAAACAAAAACACCGAGCACCAGCGTTCCGTCTCCCTGGCAGGACTGCCTGTCAAGCTTCACCGACGACGAAGCCTCATATACCGCCTCAATCGTGGTTCCCATTTACGTTCCAAAGCATGACGACCTTGTACCGAGTTTTCGCTCCTGCTTCATTTCGCGCATGTATACCCTAGAATTCATTTTTTCTTATTGCATGACAAAGCAAGCTGGAAGCCACACAGTCAAAATCGAGGTTCCTGTTGAGATCACTTTGAGAACCGAGTAGGCCAATCTCCTACATCACAGGGGATTAGTTCGCTGTTACAGAATTCATCAACATGAAGTGAAGCTTGCCTGATCATATGTTGGTCGCTGTCATGGGGCTTTCTTCGGTTAGAAAACGGTGTTCTCGCCACACTATGTTGAAGCCTAGAGAGGCTAACACGATATCTTGACTGGATTCCACGATACTATCCTGATTATGACCATATTGTGTATAATAACTAATACAAACTTTTCTCTACAATCGCCATCTGCTGATGATTTGCATTAACATTCAAAATGATGTATTTATATAGAACAGCAGCGACTGGACTGGCTCCTTGTGCTTGAAGAAGAAAAATACGAAAAAAGACTAGGAACAACGTAGTTGCATACGAGGGTTAATTTTGGGGTTCATGACTTAGTTTTAACCAGTTCAACTCAGAAAGAGTCGAGATAGCTGTTCAATTCACACACATGATAGGATTGCGTGGTTTATCCATTGATTGTATGTATATCCTGCTGTCCGCTTTGGTGACAGCGAAGGACAGAAAAAAAA